ACATAAAAGCTGACTTTAGGTTGTAAGTCCCTTTGAAGTTCCTGTTTGGGTTTGTAGCCAGCGCTCAGTTTCCAAAACAATACCCACAGGGAGCGTGTGTCAGTCAATCCAATGCAGACATCAAACATGTCTACATTTGGGCTATTTAATTAGTCTCCATTCAACCCTCTCGGTAATAGAATTTGGCAGAATAACGAGGCCTGAAAACAAATGTGTTAATCAAGACTCGTTGAGTCTAAGACTTTTTCCCTGCAGTAGCCATATTCTCCACAATTCCTGTCCGTCCCCTTCATGTGGTACAAAACTAAGACATTTTATCACTGGCAACCAATTCCTTTTTCTTGGCATATTATCATCATTTAGCGACATTGTTGCGCTAGCGTTTTTTTGTGAAATTTCTACGACTAACGAACAACGCTTGCTGGGCTCCGGGCTGACTGTCGATATGTCATTAAGTGTCTCTAGAGTGTCTGGGGAAAGAGAGTCAAAGAAGAGCGCTGAAGAAGGGCTAGAAGTCAGAGAAGATAACATTGTACGCTTTTTTAAAAAGTAATTCCCTGAGATTTTTTTGAGACCCCTTCCCTGGAGTTGAGGTTAAGCAGCCTGTTTTAGGGGTTCTTGGGTTAATCCCCAGCTGTGGTTTCCGACTTTGTATCGAGTTCTGCGGGTACAAGATAAGAACAGCTTCAAAGAAAAGTCGTTAAGGCTATAAAAGTGCTGATTTTCTAACCTCGGCTTCATTGGTAATGGAACGATACGAGTCAAGTGACGCCGTTTATATACTGTTATATAAAACCCTTTAGGTAGAATAAACAAGAAATCAGTCTCAAATTTGTAGAAGATAAGGATAGCCTCAGTGAAAGGTAATTATATGACCCTTTCACAGAAATTTTTGGCAAAATTTCCGGTTTCTTTCTAAAATGCTGAAAAACAAAAACCTCAAGGCTGAGTTGATACTCTATGGCATGGTAAGTCGCGTTCTTTCGCTCGGACAACCAATATATAATTGTACTCCATGATCTCTGCTGGTGAAACTCAAATATATTCGTATAAATTGAACACAACATCGGTCGCATTATGCGCCTTCGCAATCAACAGACCAAAACCGGTGTCCTAAATAAAGATTTGTTTGTCAATTGCCTTAGTTCATTTGACTCATTTACAAACCACCAAAAGTCAACATCATTAGTATTCCATTATCTGATAATACCAATTAGCTCGTCTGAAGCCGTCAAAGTGGAATCTCGAAAAATCTTTTTAGAAAAAAACAAGAGTATTCAATAGATCATCAGACAAAACTTTCACGAGCGCACAATAGATCACTTACACCAATAGATCTTTAACTTGAATGGCCCATTTCAATTAAAAATGAGAACCGTGTCACAAAATCCCCCCAATGATGGATTGATATAAGGTCCTATTATTCATTCCTAGCTCCAAAAAGCCCAAAAACAATAATGCTTTTTCATGCCTTTCAATTAAGAAAGTGGCTGCTGTTTCGAACTTCCTTGCGGCATTTGTTTAATAGTTGACCCTGACATACATGAAGATGAAATTTGTTTTGGCTTCGTCTGGTTCTAAGTTTGGAACAAAATCTTTTATACACAGAGTAACTTCCTTCTGATATTACTTCTGGCATATCGCAAATATTTGGTAATACCTTGAACACATGAGAACCATTAAAATTTGACCTTTCCGCTTAAAGGCACATCTCAAATCAACACAAGCGGCATTCAGCGATTCAATGAGTGATTTGCTCGTAGTAGAAGTAGGTTAAACACACACCAGGGTAATACCTGTTCTGGTAAATTGCTTTTTTGTTCGCAACTAAATGTCTCATTATCTACACAGATGGTTATTTAAACACGCCTGGAATGCTTTGCGGAGCTTTCACAAACACAAGAGATTGGACTGACCTCTTTAATATAACCAAAACGAATCCAAAATCAGTTTTTAACAACTTTTATATCTAATTTGCAAATGACAAGGCAGGAGAAAAAATCATAGAAAATTCAAAGCCTGTCTTTGCTAATAGAGCTAATTCTCAAGGAGTGTTTTTTCGTGCCTTCTTTGATGGAAAATTCAAACCGTAGAAGGCTACATATATTTTTGCATCTGCAATTCATTTTTAGATCTCTTGATAATATAGATAGGATTTAAGCTGTGAACAATTAACACTCGTTCCATGCACTCAGCTGACTCCTCTACTTAGGCGTTCCCTTTTTCTATAACCCATTAACAATCTTTTTAATTTCAGCCCCTGCTCTGATAAGGTGCGAAGCGCAATCGAAATGTCCTCCGCGCACGGCGAAATCCAGCGCGGAACAGCCTTGAGAGTCAACTACGTCTACTTCGACACCACTGTCGATTAACAACTCAACGCATTCATAGCTTCCCTCAGCTGCTGCATAATGTAACGCTGTTAGTCCCGAAGGGCTCTGGTGATTTATATCAATTTCACCTTTAAGCATAATCTTTGTTAGTTCTGCAACGTCGTTATCCGCGACGGCAGCGAACAAGACAACCTCAGGGGCGAAAGACACACTCCTTGTACGCTTCATGGCTCCTCCAGCCGGTATATCCGAAATTATCGTCTTGCAATTGCTACGGGACGACTTCCTCGGACAGTACATTTTTTCAAGTTCTTTGCAGTCTGGTAAAGAATAAGCTCTTCTTAGTTCCCATAAGTCAGCTGCGTTTGGCGGCTTGTTTATTTTATGCGTTAGACTGGCCACAGAGTATTTCCTCTGCTTCACATGACCGTATCGTTCATCCTTTTTTCTCTCCAAGGAAGGCACGAAACCGCAGAATGATTGCCGACGATGATATGCGTTCATGGCTTGCTAACAGCTTGATCGACAAAGTAAATATCACAGAAAATGTGCTGCAGAAAAATCGAAACCGGTCAACTGAGGTTTCTTGACCGATATGCTCTTGCCACTTGAAAGCGAACTTCGTTGATGACAGAGGTCCTTGAGAAAAGCAGACAAGCCTCACGAGAAGTTCTCAGGTCAGTTTAGCTGCAAAAATGCAGCAGGTCTTCAGTTATCGGATCGCTTTAAGCTACCAGTCAATGAAAACAAAGGACCATCAAATTGCACCTATTTTGAGATGGTCAATCCTATTGACATTCTGTCAACCGCAGTATTTACTTGCTAAATGATTAAGTAACGTAAGTGACGCGTTCAGTACGTGCGGTCCCATCCGCGCGATCCACGTGGTTAAGTAACTGAAAATTAATTATGTGGCTGCAACCATCGAAGTTCTCCTTTTATTAAAGAAAAGATGGAACATTCGTTACTAAAAGTAAATAACGACGGAATACAAGAAGGGATGACTGGCAGCAGTTAACTTAATTAGCAATTATTGGATGAGGCTGACTCCTGAATCCGGGAAATTTTTATCTTTTGGTATCCGGAATCCGGGAAATTTTTCTTGTCGAATCCGGTATCCTGGGCTTTGGATTCCGGAATCCAGCTCAATTAATGGGCCATAAACACGATACCTGCAAACCAGAATCCATAACGTGGAATCCGGAATCCCCGGTTTGGAATCCAGAATCCAAGACTGTCCTGCTTGGATTCAGTCGATGCAGATCGAGGAGGGTGCTATCGCTATTAAACACACTCCGAGATCTGCATAATTCTTCATATCATACGAAAGCCGAATCCAATAATTATTTCCTTATTCATTGAATATTTCCGGATTAAAGACGTGCTTACCTCGATCGAAGTTATTTCCGTCTTCATAACATTTGCCGTTTCCTTGACAGTTTTAACTTGTTAAATATTAAGGGATAATTTTTCTCACTAGCAGTTTTTATGGGCGTTGAGTAGTATTTTTGCTGTTCTTTTTAACTGTTTTTAGGCAGTAGTTAGGCGATTTCATCTTCGCAAAACGTGTGAAATCTTTCGCAATTTCCTCTGACTTTTGCCAAAACAGCTGCGCTACCTTTTCTGTCCATAACTGCACAACTGACGTCAATTCTACTGATTTCGACAAAAGTCTTCCGAATTTGGTAAACGATAGCCTCCTGGTTATGAAGAATTAAGGGGATTTGAGCCCATCAGAAACAGAGAATTATTCGCCTTTATCCGAGCCAAGAAATTTTGTATACTTGTGCAGTTGAAATCCGATTTCTCGAACTTCGCTTTCTGAAACATCTCGCTAAATTTACTTTCACCAGTTTCAACACTAAGAATTGAGCCCAGATTTTTCAACAGTAATTTCGAAGCAATGTCCTCTTCTCTCAGAGGTTTAGGCGAAGGCTATGTTCACTCTGTCCCGGTTAGCCTTTCGTGGCCCCACGATATTGTGAACACCTATCCGCAAGATTTTAGAGATCGGAGCAGCGCTACAACCATTTCTGTGCATGAACAGAAGCCCTTTCGTCACCCCATGCGAGGGAATCCAGGACAGTCTTGGATTCTGGATTCCACGCTGTCGATTCTTTTATTTGTGAGTAGAACTTGGATTCCGGATTCCTTGAGCTGTATTCCGGATTCCAAAATCCCGGATTCCTGATTGTACAAACAAAAATTTCCCAGATTCCCTTACTTAGGGCGACTTTTCGTCCCTTTCGTGTGAATGAAGCCTGAAATTTAACACCAGTCCTCTTTTCAGTGAGGCCTTCTCTTCATACCGGACTGAACTCCCGGATGGACAATCAAATGGTTCGCCCCATTCATTTTGAAAGCTTTTGAAAATATATTGGCTGTGATTGAAAGCGACTCAGTTTTCTACTCTTTTCAGTATGTTTATACATTGTACGAGCTATTCTCCCAACACGTCCAAATCTTATGAAGCCATGTTTATGCAAGAAATTTTTACCCGGTTGGTTCGTATGAATGGTAAGCAGCCGAATATTTCTGCACGCATTGCGTAGTACGCGGTGAGAGAGAATGAAATCGGTGGCTCTTCAAAAGAACACGATGAAACCTTTGTACAAGGGATGTCTTTTAGTTTAATAGCACTTCTTTTAGTTTGATCGAACATCTTTTGTTTGTGTAACGTTGCATCGAATATCTTTTAATGCACATAACATGGATGTATTCAGTATGTAATGGCAATGTAATGGTATGCCGGTTTTTTATAAGGAATAAGCTGAATACTACTAAACACTCTCAACAACAATATCTTATTTTCCTCGAACCTGTTTAAGAGCATAATTAACGTAACTTGGAAAACTGCAGGTTCTTATTATTATACTCGCGGGTGTTTACTGTAAAATTATCACGGGAAACAAACATTGAGGTCTCATTGCCGACTTTTCAAGTTCATATCCGAAGATCCATGCATGTGCATTTTAGTGATTGATAAGGCTATAATTCTTATTATCACACTCTGCAAGCATGGCGGTTTGTTTACAGTTTGTTATCTTATCGGCTGATTAATCATGGACTAGTTGTTTGGTTCTTGCGCATATATTGTAAAAACTATTCCTAAGTGAAGATTTTCCAAACAAAGGGGATCAGTTATATTGTGAGGTAAGGGTTAAAAAAAATAAAATCTCTAAACCCGCTGTAAATAAAACTGTTTGAACCATTTCAATAGCAAAACCAGCGTTAGCACTATTGACGGCAAACACCTCGCTATCAATCTTAAACTTTGCCAGTTTAGGGTAGTAATCATTCCAAAAGGCCATCCGGCGAGGATTAAATGCTGTTTCCAATCTCGGATTAACGTCAATTCGCAAATACGATCGGCGACTTGAGTTGTACCCTTCCCAGGTAACGCCGCTAACTGGTTGTGGCGTGGGCTCACCAAACCTGGCAAAGTTGGTGTAGAGTTTCATGATAAATAAACTGACGTTTCTGTCAGCTGTGTCATACATTGAAGAAAGAGGAGTTAGAAGTGGAATACCAAAATCAAATGGAGCGTTATCAAAATGAATCACTCCCATCCACTCTGGCGAGAGACTGGCGTTTGATGGCCGTCGAGCGAACTCGTTCATGTACACAGGAGCCACTTCGCTGTGAATATCGGCTACCTCGTGACTAGGTGCGAAGAAAAAGTAATCGCTAAGCAGATCTATAAGCTGGCTTCTCAGTGCGTACTGATCGTTGTTGTCCGGCCAAGGGGTGTACATGAACTCCAAAGCATCGGAGATGAGGTCTGCTACTTTTCTGGAGAATGACCACAAACGGCATTTCTTTTAATTATGGTTTAAAATACATAGGCCGACCATCCTAACTGTTTGAAGCATAGTGATGTCACGCGCGACATGTGATGCCATACATTTACTGTATTTCGTAACACCCGCTCTCGGCTTGATTTGAGTGATCAGGAGAAATGTTCAGTAAAACACAGACTCTTGCACCTTTTGATCCCAACTGTTGATATAATGTAAGAAAAATGAATAAAGACAAGTTACCGCATGTTTTTAGTGGCGTGTTCTTCGTTATTGTGACGTTTTCGGGGGTGTCCGTTTCAAGAATATGTCACCAAAAACATACGATAAGTTATCTTTATTCATTTTTCTTTCATTAAATCAACATTTTGGATCAAAAGGTGCAAAATTCTGTGTTTGATAAGCATTTCTACCGATCACTTGAATCAAGCCGAGAGCGGGAGTTATGAAATACAGTAAATGTATGGGATCGCATGTTTCGCGTGACCTAACGATGCCTCGAACAGTTCGGATGGTCGGCCTGTGGTAAAATCAAAACTAAAGAAATACATTGCTTGATCATGTCATTACCTTACGCAAATGTGAACCAATCATTGATTATCTGAGTTTCACAGGAAAGAGGTTATGCGTTAACATTGCTTATTTCTTCACGCCTTTCTCCAGGCCAGCACGTCAATTCGGTGACGGACTACATGTACGTGACGTGACTCATCAATCTAGACGTGCGGCTGAACATTTGACATGTAGGATATGGACAATGTCATTATTTAAAGAATGGTACATCTAATGCATTAGGCTGCCACATCACAAAGAAAACATCCTCACCTTTTATTTCTACCTTCGACAAACCCTGATAAGGCGTCTTTGAACAATGATCGGTTGACTCCGTTTTCCAGCCCAGCCGTCCCTACAAGACTTCTGATAGAAGTTGCCCCCTCGTGACTGTTAAAGCTTATCATTAAAGGCACCTTCTTGAATTTCCCTTTTTTCCGCAGATTCCAGGGTGTATCAGTGAGAAAATGCCCGTCCACAACTGCTGACCAGCGATAGAAATCATGGGCAGGGGAAATGAAGATATCGCCAGCCGCTTTCTGTATGTCCATAGCCTTTACTTTGCGAATGCATTCCACCATGGCGTGGTGATCACTGGATGTACAATGCAACTTTTGGGCCAACTCTTTCGCGAAACGGATGCCATATGAACTTGGCTGAATCGCCCAGGGGCACAAATCTACACCGCTCTCTGCAATGGCCTGGTGGAAGAGGTCCTTTGACAGAGGTGACATCATATGGAAGTTAACACTTGACCCACCAGCGCTCTCGCCTAAAAGAGTTATCTTATTGGGGTCCCCGCCGAAGTTTTCAATATTTTCCTTGACCCATTTAAGTGCTGCCACCTGATCCAGTAATCCAAGATTTCCGGGAGCAGCAGAATCTTCGGTGGTGAAAAAACCAAATGGACCGAGACGATATTGGATCACCACAACTACAACACCATGTAGTACCAAAATATCGCTAGGAAATGCAACAGAATGACCCCCTGTATAAGCCCCACCGTGAATGTAGATAATCACAGGTAAACTTAGACTAACGTTGGGAGTGTAGACGTCGAGAAACAGGCAGTCCTCGCTATATGTTATATTGTACCCGTAGCGATCAAAGTAAAAAGCGAATCTTTGAGGCTGCATGCAAGCACTCCCATGTTTTTTAGCCTGTCGTATTTTCGGTTTCCAGCCTTCAAGAGGTTGTGGTTTTCTCAGTCTGTTTTCCTCAGTCGGCGGAGCGGCGAATGGAACACCCAGAAACTTGTCAACCGAGTGGAACTGTAGGTGAATAGGAAGACTCGGAAAAGAAGCTGTAAAGCCTTCAAGTTTCCCGTACTTCGTTGTGGCGATTACTGAATGAGCCAACGGTAAAAATGAACATAGCAAGATAAATGGTGCTGCGAGAAGCATCATGGACATAAAGATTCCAAGGAATAAACTGATTCAGTAAAAATGAACGTCACGATTAAGCTGAAAGTCGGCGATCTATATCTGGAACGATTCAGTCGCTTAAAATAAAACGCTGGGCTCAGATTTATCCGGGGGGGAGTACTCAATACAGTAAGTATACGGAGAGGGTCCTCCTACTCTTACTTATCCTTTATAAAGCACCTTTGGCATAAAAGGTACCCCTTTCTCACACCTCCCATTGACAAACTGAATGATTCCCCTAAATGATTTCCCTTGTTACACGTCCCTACCATTAAAACACTGCATTTCTTTTCTAAAATGAATTGAGTATATGACTGATGCATCAAGTATTTTTGAAATGTTCTAGTTTTAAAAGGCCTTCCCTCCTCTTTATATGCTTCAACTCGTAACCGATAACTGCCTGCCCTTTTATATTATCTGAACCGTGAAAAAAAAAATCTGAACCGTGAAAAATGTAACCCATTCCTGCGTAGTCTCCCCTTACAGACTCCCTTCCCCCCTGCCCCAAACCCTTGATATCATGCAAATTCTATGACAGTCGAATGACAACGAATAACGGAAGTGTATTCAGTCACGCTATTTTTCAGCCCTTACTAAAACGTATGGAATAATATAAGGAAAACGGGAAAAATTCAAAAGTGGCACGGAATTGCAAAAATAGAAAATGCAAATTCAGATTGCATTTATGTCAATCTGAAAAACGGCCTAATATTTCTCCGTTAGGGACTGGCTAATTCTTTATCACCAGCTAGCGTTGACCAAATATGGATAGCTTGCAAAAACAGGCGTATTTTGCTGTGCGATCCATTAGGACTTTTACTGACCGAGAGTTGGGGCGAGTCAAAAAATGATTCCAAGGGAGAGGTTGACGCGTACCAGGCTAAAATATAGAAGGTGTTTGCCGCAACGCTACAAATATCGACAGAAAAAGGGGACGGCAGAAGGCGCAGTTCTCCAGCTGTTTTGATAGAGCTGGAGAAGACAGCGGAACATTTCACACGTTTTGCAAAGAAGAAATTAAATAGCAAGCTTCTGGTTAGAAACAAAGCAAGAATAGCGCCAAAAATACCACCACTCGACAGATGACAAATGTGCTATTTGAGGATCTTTGGGGAATATCTTCCAGACTTGGCGCGTCCCTAAATTTTCCGAGAAACATGCTAATCAAGACTGGTTCTTTACATCTATCGGAGCAAGCATGTTTTGAAGTTTGAAAAATTTTGAATGAAAAAAAAATGTTAGGTTCGGTTTATATGATATGGTGAATTAGGCATATCTCGAGGCGTGTGAAACAAAATTCTCTGCTTCGATTTGCTTATTCTTCATATCAATACTCAGCCTCGTCCAATTATCGTTAATTCTTAGGCGTTGCTAAGCGAAATATTGACAATTATCGCTGGCGAGCCAATCACGACTTGCCAAAGCCGAAGGCTGAAGAAAAGAACTAACCTGAGAGACACCAACAAATGACGATAATTTGTGATAATGGGGTCAATAGCCATCGGGTTTAATAATTTTTTATCATTCTACATACAGTCGAATCTCTACTCGCAACCTCTTCAGTAAGCTAGAAAGGAACAGTCACCACCAGCATCATTCATTTTGTACAGTAGAACCTCGATAACTCGAATTTCCCGCCAACTCGAACTGTTTTTTGTTTCTCTTAGAGTTCGAGTTGCAGGAGTTCTAATGTATTGCGAGCTAGTGGCCCTTTAACAGAACATGGATGGCTGAATATCCGCTAAGCATTTTTCGGGTAATGTGGAGATGAGATGTAGATGAGTTATGGAGATCACTGAATATATTGCATGGCAAGTATTTGAAGGAAGGAAAAGCAGGGGGAATGAAGACGCCCGTTAACGGGAAACCATTTATAAACTCAAGAGCTTGTAACAAAGATTTGGGAGATCAAGTGAGAAGGAGAACTGGAAACACGACGATCTGCGTGAAAGTATTTAGAAAAGCTGGGAGAGCCTAGTAAAAAGGATTCAACATTTTCATAGTGACGCCAGTTTTGAGCGACGCTCGTCAACCGAAAGTGAACTTTTTGCATCCTTTGCTTGGGCAGTATGCTGCCCACATTTTCGGGAAAAGTGTTCTACAGTAGAACCCCGGTAACTCGAACTGTGAAGGGAAACGAAAAAGAATACGAGTCATCGGGGTAAATTTCAGGGAAATTTTGATCTAAGGAAAGGAAGTTTAGTTCGATTTAGCGGAGAACTCAAGTTATCCGAGTTCGAATTATATCGAGGTTCTACTGTATAGAAGACTAATTAAAGGAACTTAGTGATAGAAATTTGGGCTTCATGACATATTTAAAAAGAAAAACGTCTCACTTCCTATTCAGGGGCACCCAAAGTCAATTTTCGGAAAATATCTGTTCGGAAGACGATTTGAGATCTATTTTTTGTAAAATTTCTTGCTTGCCTACCTCTCCTAGGATTTTCGAACATCTATAAATTGGTATAGTTGCCAATTTTAACGGATTTTTACCCTGAACAGGTCACCTAGAATTTTCGGGAGCCTTTTTCCTGACTGAAATTTTCGAAAAGGTAAGTTTTGATCCCTACAATTTTCGGATCTCTAGACTGGCAGGGACATTAAAAGAATGTCTATTTGCGTTGGTCTTGTTTTAAGCTCACCACCAACCTCAACTAACCAACAATGGTAAGAATGGCTTCCGCAAACACAATAACAATTTGCATAGTCACTGTTCATCTAAAACAAAGGGTGTTATGAATCACGTTCAATGTTTTGTTTTTGTGAATTTTAAAAACAAACTCGGAAAAAAAGCATAAACACATTATGAATCAATTTTGGTTTAGCGACAACCAATGAGTCAGTTTGCGTTGTTAGCTCGTTGTTGAATTTCGTCGTTTACACGTCGTCATTCTCTTCTCTAGCTTAAAATCAGTGGTTAAATGAAACAGTCTTTGTGTGCACCAAAAGAAAAGAAAAAAAACAACTATCAATATTCAATATCAGTACAGTTTTGGTCGTTCTGTGAAAGCGCGAACAGTACAGTAAACTATAAATGAACGCCGGTCCGCTAAGGGGACAGTCGTTGATTTTTCCTTCTTGTATTATGTTTTGATGTTCACAGTTTCACGATTATATCCGATTAGTTCTTTATAATAATTAACGCAGTTTACTAGCCTCGCCAAAACAACGGAGAATTCGATGTAATATAAGCGTCGCCGCCAATGAATCTGGGAATGTCTGCATCGATAACCAGAATATCGTTTCTTTCAATGTACTTTAAGTTCTTTAAAAAAGTTTAAATTAAACGAGCAGGCCAGCAAAAGTTTAATTCGAAGGTACTTCCCTTTGCCATTCCAAATCACAACAACGAACAAACCAATTACAGATAAAGAATCAGTATTGTCCAATCAGTTTTATCAGTTATAGTGACGTCAATTTTTTTGTGATTGGCTGACATCTCCTCTATTGTTCTGTTCCCTATATATTTTCGATACCACCCGGATGGTTTGGGCGGATCAGTAAAATCAGTGCACAATAAAGTTCTTTTGCTAACACCTCAAGATAGCAAAATATAATCTCATGCTCAGTCTCAATCTCAAGCACCACCCGACATAGTTATGCATATTCAATGAGGCGCTTTTAATTCATTTTACATCTTTGCACAGCCGCTACATGGTTTGCATCTGATTAACCCAGGTCGCAGTGGGGTTCTCAGTCAAGGCAGTTGAATATGTACATGAATGTAAAGCACCGTCTCCATTGTTTCAACAGAATATTATATTTTCAATGAATGGAGGCCGAGCAAGTCACTGAAGTGGAACAGGAGAGGAGCAACAGAAAAGAAACACTTTGATCTCGAGACTGGTGGCCTATATTCATACATGTGAAGACAAGAACGAAGAATGAAAAGATTAGATTTCTACTCATGGCATACTCTGCAAAAGTTTATTAAAGAGAATTAATCCTTTGATATTCTCCGGGGTCTTTACTATAGCTTTAAGCTCCAATTGTACTCAGTCAAAATAAAAGTAACTTAAATCCCATAAAATTTAGAAAATTATAAACAAAATGAGTCTGTTTGTTTCAAATGATTCAATCAGTGATCTAATATCATAAATAAAAAGCTCAGTAGAGACTGTCTACGGTTGTCTATAATTTGTTACATCAAGCCTAGTAATTTCCAGTTTATCTTAATCTTCATCACATAAGCAAAAAACTTTTAGGAGGTTTTTAACTCGGTCGCTTAATTAAACTCTAAAAGTGTCACTGATGGTTCGTTCAGTGATCTTTAGAAAGCTATATAGACTATCTACAGTTGTCATTTTTACATAAAGCCTAGCAAGCCAGTTTATCTTAATCTTCAAACTTCAAACTTCATGTCAAAAGTTAGCCATCGATGTTAAATTACAACTTTATCAAAATCAAGCTTCAGCACTGCATCATTTTAAAATCGTGGAACTACAAAACCCGCAAAAATTTTCCTCTTGTTGTACTGTTTTGTTTCTCTTTAAGTCCTGTGAAATCCTTTTGTAAATAGGAACTCCGCAATTCGATAAGAGCGAGGGCGCTACCACATAAATAGGACTGAAAAAGAGTAGGGACGTTCACCCGCCTGAATTGGGCAATTATATTCCATGTCCCTTAATCATATGATTTAAACCTATGTTCGGACTCAGTTTGCAAATGATCGAGGCCGGCTCAAGCAGGAAAGTCGCTCTAGACATAATGGTGACATGCAGTTCTTGCAGAGGGACGAGAATACTAATAAAGCCAACCAGAGGCTAACCGTACGCGTAGAGAAAGCATCTGGAGAAGTTCGTGTTTCTTAATAAAGTTAGCAAAAGAACTAAAACAGTCCTTTCTCCTTTTTGAGCTGGACTTGCTTCCATCTTGGCAAGGACTCGAACTCAGTCCTCTCCATATCGAATACCAAGAAAAACTCCTCGTTTGATAGGTAGCGCTGTAAACGCAAACAAAAGAAAACAATAACCATTAATACCATATTTAGACGAATTTTTCTTTGTGGCGATGATGCTAAACAACACGTTCTCTGAGGCTTCTTAAGGATCTTAAGATATACAGTATATAACAGTATTCATTGCCCTATCGGCTATTTGTAAAAAATTAAAAAGTGCGCTTCATCTAGTTGTTGTGCAAAGTTCACATTCAGTGTTGACCCTACCTCTCTCTTGGTTTTATCGATGCTCTCTGGAAGAAGATGGTGTGGTTGAGCCAGGACGTCATATGGATGACACACACCATCAGTAAAATCAGCGTTGTTATTGTGGTTCATTGTCTTTACAATCTAAACATGGTGTAAACAAAAAACACACGAACTCTAAACCTCGGGGAGTGATCAGTTACCCACGAAAAAAGAACAAGGAATCTAGAATCCCAGTCACGATTGGAATCTAGAATACAAGTTCCACTGACAAAGTCCATAGGGTGAGACACACTAAAGCTTCAATGTTGCCATTTAAGAATAACTTCCTGCATCAAGTATGAATGTGATTAATCGTCTTGTCAAATTCACCTTCGGTGTTATTCGTATCTCTGAAAACTTTTTCATTGTGTCTTCTCCCATTTCATTTTTCATCTCTTCGTAAGTCCTTCCTTCCTAAAGAGAAACAATCGATCGTGGAAAAAAAAACAATAGGATATAACTATCTAAAACAATTTGAATTTTAATTATTTAATAAAGTCAAGTGTCAAACGGCATTCTTTGCAAGTAGAAATGACTCTCCTGAAAATGTACTTTTCGAACGTGTCTCTTGTATTTGAATTAACCCTTAATCAAAGCGTACAACAATACTCTGTACCTAGATTATTGTATATTGCAAGGTAAGGAACTACAATAGCTCTTGCTGCAGGGGAACACTTTGTAATTGAATGGCAAGTAACTCCTTCCCTCAAATAGGCCTCCACGCCTCCAGTGACCCACGATCGATTAAGATAGATAATAGCAAGAGAGAATAATCTCTTAATAATAGATAATTAAGGTAAGCGAGACGAGCAAAAAAATGAAAAGGGCAGAAAAGCAAAGCGACTTTTTCCTTTCTATATTTCGCCATCCACTATCAGTCCGCGCTCTGCGCGACTGTTCCAAGGTCACACATATTGCGCTCCTCCCCACTGGCAGATCATTACGATAAGGGATAGTAGCAAATATTCTAATCACAGAAAAGATGAAAAATCGAATTAAGAGTGAAAAATAGAAATATCAATTTAAAATTTGGGGCGAGGAGGCGGATGGCGCCCTCCGGGCTTTCAGTTGATTCCTTTTTCGAATAGCCTCCCAGGATTTCCTTTAACCTCTTCCAAATAAAAGGATAACTCATATCACAGGCCGCGCGAAAACCTCGTCAGAGACATATGGAGCCAAGAGAGGATAAAGCGCAATTGCTGATTAACCCGCGGCTGGCATAGGCGAATTTTTATTAGGAAGAGCAGTATTGTCTTTAGATGTTTCAGTTAAATAGAACACAAGCTAATTAGTTGGATGTTACACTTACGCTCCATTTATCTCTATCCCAGGCCTGAAAATGTCCAGTGAAATTCAGTGGTTCGTAGCCTTGTTTTACTTGTATTATCACTGTATCTTCCAAGGTCCTTCCAGATGGATCAGAGCTCACGTAATCCTGGAAACGAAGATAAAATTAAGCGCGTCAATAAATTACACGTGTTTATCTTTAAGTCACAGACTGCATGAAAATGAGAACCTCAAGCCCTCGGCTGACCGCCCCAATCTTGCTGGGGACGTCACCCCGCGCGGAAAAGTCCCCCACAGTCCCCGCGGCGGAGAGAGGAGAAACGCATGTTTTTTAGGAGCTCATGAAAATGAAAACCTCAAGCCCTCAGCTGACAGCCCCAATCTTGCGTCACCCTAAGCAAAAGACCGCCACAGTGAAGGCTCAGGCAATGGCCAATAAAATACCATGGTAGCATAGTCAACTTCCCTGTATTCTTCTTCCCCTTACTTTCCAATTTATAAGACTGACAACTCGGAGGACAGGGGTAGGCCTTAGATACTGCAGTTGACTGGGCAACTTTTAGAGCCTTACCATTGCTACTGTGACTCCCTCAGATTTCTCTACTTCGTTCGCTCCATCCCCAAGCCAGACAAACACCTGACGATAGAAACACTACTCAATCAATACAAGATAAAGTGATCTGTAGCAAAGAACTTAAAAAGCTGTTCACTCGACTGAACTGTATCAAAATCACTGCATCTGGATCAGATCAATCTGTATTCTCCAGAAAACCTGAAATTTGCATGGTCATTATACCTCGTCATAAGTGTCAAGAAACATAACATCATCCTCGATAAGATCCTAAAAGAAGAAAAAAGAAAGAGCTTTCTTTAGGAATGTATCATTAAAAGGAACTGTGCACAGCAAATGGCTTATGCGTCTTTTAATAGTTAAGCGGTTCTTCTAAAAGGGTATGTTACCTCTTGAGAAAATTCAAATATTTCTTCTACTTTAAACGCCCCTGAGGCATTGGAGCACTGAAACAAACGCGGCGGATAGCTGGGCCTTTCTTCCTAAAAATTAGATTAAGAAATCGACGAATTATTCCTTGAGTATTGTCATTCTGATTATTGTCATTACAGTGTATTATAGTGAATAAGTTAATTTTCCGGCTTTTATATATGTTTTATAGTAGTTAAACTTTATTGGTTTTAAATGTGTCCCCAATTAGTGCCGAGAGGTGCTAGAATGTTAGAAGGCGTAGACACTTAAATAAAGGCTATGTATGTATACAAGTATGTATGTTATAAATTCTTAATAGTGTTACATTGCATACAATCTTTAAAATTACACATAGAGAAGTTAGAATCACGCTTGTGGTAAAGGGGAAACGTTAATTTGTAAGTCAATTTATTCTCGTTAATCGATCGCTCGTGTATCTACTAGGTAGACTTTGCAACTAAAAGACATTGCGATGACAGTGACGGAAGCGCGCGCTTAAAACTGATTTGACCGATGGAAGTAGGGCACTTCAGGAAGTCGGGTTCGGTCCTTTCCTCGCGCTTTCGGGTTAGCGAGTACGTTTTCTTTGCTAATTCTGCCTACTGCCATTTAAATTGCACGTCACCTCCATTCTTTTTCCGGTGGCGTATTCTTCATATCCACCAATGGCGTCCCAGAATTCTCTCGGCTCCTTCCCTTCACGAATTGGCTCCACCTCCCTACAGCAAGCAGACGGAAGTGAATAACTGCATAATTACACTCTAATGTATTTAACCTTTCATATTGGATAATTAAAACTCGGAGGCAGGATTTTGCTTATTTATAAGGTGTATCAACAAACAATGCACGCATGATGTGGCCGGCTTTCTATTAACAGAACTTCCGAATAAGAAACATTTTAGTGATGTGCACTGAATATATTTTGAAATACCGTAAAATTCCGAAAATAAGCCCCGGGGCTTATATTTTTCAAAGGCCCTTTTTTGAGGAGCTTATTTTTGGAGGGGCTTATATTCGGAGGGGCTTATCTCGGAGGGAAATTTGCGTTTCAAAATCGATTGGGCTAGCCTTATAGTTGGAAGGAAATTTACCGTTTTTGCTTTGTTTTACTTTGTATTTGAAGGCAATTTTCCAAGTACAACCCCGCGGGGGGTTTATATTTGGAGGGGCGATTTAACGGAGGGTTTTTTGCGTTGGCGGTTTGGGGGGCTTATAGATGGAGGGGCTTATTTTAGGAATTTTACGGCATATAAACAACAAAGTACACAATGTAACCTTCCATAATATACAACTGTACCTGATTTGTAACTTGACTTAACGTTTCGAAACACATACTCTATGGGGCTTTACGAGTTTCCTGCTGGGGTAAGGAATTTTAAATCGTTGCTTGTTTTGAGAAGGTTTGAAGTTTTCCGCAAATTTAGAAATTTAGGGAAACTATTGTATATCGACCGACGCTTTTGTTTTTGTTTCAGTTTTATTGTTTTGTGGGTATGAATCACAGCAAAGTATACTCATACTTGAACCTTCCAGTTATTCCAGCCCCCCCCCTAGCCCCCTGAGAAAAGTGAAACTTTCGTCAAAAGTACCTTCTGTAACACTTGTGCAAAAACATTTACACCAACCTGCCAACCATAAGGTAGTCAATAAGCTGTCTGGCATTTCTCCTTTCGGCGGCGCATGCTCCCTGTAGTCAAACACAATACCCATACATTACCTGCATGTAATATTATTGAGGTAACAGTATTGTAAAAGTATTGCTGTGACAGTATTGTAATGGTATTGCGGTAATCACCTTTCCCCTCCATAAATAAGCAAGATTAGGAGTCTCCAGTACAAACATGTCTCCTGAATTCAACGATGCCGATCTTCGGGGCACCTGGGAAAAGACAAAGGAACCGAGCGAACACTCAACTAAATCTTCCTATTTACAACAGTTCATGGTTTATGATAAAACGCGCTCTCAGATTAGTATCAGCACATTTCGAGTTTAGATAGCACTTATCTATGAAGTGCTTTACTTAGAAAATTTTCAACTGATTAAGCCGCTACTTTCAGCGTATCAATAGGAAGTTAAGCAACGACGACGGCGACGGCTACGAAAACGTCACTTAAAAAGTGAATTCGCGCTGCCTCAGATTTTATCGCGTTTATTCCATCTCGTTTAATTCGTCAAACGTTGGCAAATTTCCTTGGAGTTGAATTCTAAAAGATTGTATCAAAGTTCAGGAAAAGAAAAAGAAAATTGTTGTTTTGCGTTCCCGTACTCGACAAAACGTGAAATTAGGCACTTTCACGTTGTAGTCGTGCAACGACTGCTAAGAAATGTACACTGAAAAGCGTGATACACGTGCAAAGTTGTTATTTTGCCAATCTAAACCTATGGTTTTTTTCGCCGTTCTCGTTGCCGTCGCCGTCCTCGTTGCTTAACCTCCCTAATATTTTGACTGTGTACTTAAACTGAAGCTAGGTAGTGTTACTGTCGGAGCCGCAGTTGTCCCTTTCGTAAACGGTCGCTGCCAGTTTTAAGACACTTAGAAAATTTTTGACCTGTTATTGAGAGTGTTTCTATTAAAAGGACAGAAAATCGCAACCCGAGGTCAAACCCAGACCTCGCCACCCGGACCTTTCGTGTCCTAATCTCTCTCCTTTACCACTACACTACTATACCGACCCGCCGAATAGACCTGGTCACGGTTTTCGAGGCTGGTTGCTTGTGCATAATACGCACAGCTGGACCAATCGTGTAACTAAACAATCTCGTCCCGAAGGCCTTCGTTACCCTTGTCCTGCGGAACGAGCAACAGACGATCCTCGCAGCCTGTGGACAAGAGAATGGTGACTGACCTGTATTGCCTTAGCATTCATGTCTGACGTGCCGCGTACGTGAAACATTCTTTTGCCTTCCTTGTCATACGTATCATCCTCGGATCCGGCTCGAAATCCAGCTCCTTTACCACCCTGTGAACAACCCAAAAGTCAAGCAGAAAGTCTTTGTAAGCTGAATGAAATATTTTAATACATTTCCTCTGTTGCTCTTTGCTTTTTATACTTAAGATTATTTCTAAACACATGAGAGAAAACGGTCTCTGCATGGAAGCAAAGGCCCAACCTCGTGTCTACGCTTAGGGTGATTCCCACCGTCGCGTTGTTTTTACGTGCGTATGCGCATAGTTTACGTGCGTAATAAAATCGGGGAAATGTACAGGTCGCTCGTGAACGTAAAGTTGAACTTCGCTCAACTTTTAACGCGCGACCTTTTATGCATTTCTTCTATTTTATTTACGCACGTAAATTTTACTCGCATAAGCACGTAGAAATAACGCGACAGTGGAAATCTATCTTTAGACTGCTTGGCACGTGTTAAAAGGGGAAGGGGAAATTCGGGCGCGCGAGGAGTGGGACAAAAGAACTTGTCAGAGAATGGGTGGTGGTTATGGTCGTAGAATCTTACCTCCAGGATAATAAAGCGCCCTCGAAACATTCTTAAGAAGTGCTCGGGTTCTTTGTTTTGGACGACTCGTACCTGAAACGCATGAAGATCCATCAAACCTATAATAGCTTTCAGTATATTCCAGTAGCAAATGAGTAGATGGAAGAGTGGCATCTCGAAAATTAAAGATAAGCGTGACGATTCAACGCTCCACTCGCCTCTATATTTCCCTGAACGGAAGACTAAAATATTATTTCCAAATCATTTCCAAATCTCTGACGACAAATTTGGTTTTTCTTTAATTACCTAGTTACTTTAAAAAGCGTTTCCAAAGGTAAGTTTTTTGGCAGTGATCGATTATACACTAGATGGCAAAAGTTTTCGTCTTCACCGCAATATTGACTCTCTCTCTATAAATATAATATATTGAGATAAACAGCTCATAATATTTCAGGAACAATATCCAGGTTTGTTAGAATATTGGACCAACACTGTTCCTATTTAGTGGCAATATAGTTACCTGATTAACTCAGCCACAAACCTGTGTTGCTATTCCTCCCAATTTTTTGTCCATTTGATCAGTTAGCATGGCTGCTGCCGCTCTTTCATCAATGCTGCTTTTTGCTCCCTTATAAAAAAATAACAAAACGATAAACTCCTTTATAAATGATTCTGGATAATTTATAAGGAGAATTCCTTTTTCATAAACTGTTGAAATTGACGACAACCGACTTTTTTTTACAAGTAAACGAGTTGACAGTGAAAAGCCAAAGTTATAAAAAGAATCCAATCCACTGGACGTTTCAAAAACAGCACCCGTTTTTGAAGGGGTTTATCAGAAAGTAATTGAATTTCGAAAAATCCTTTTTTGCCACACCGGATTAATCGTGCAAATATGATTAGGCTTTTCTTTCTTGAATCATATCAAATTGTAAGCCACGATTGGTTTAGGACTTTGACGCTCTTGTAATCTATATATAATGCTATAATTTTATTATCATCTATTATTTACTAAATATTTAAACTCGCGGTTGTTCTATAATTAAGTGTTCTGTTGCCGTGCGTTGTTGGATGTTTCAGTATTGTGAGTGCATCCAGAACCTTACTTCACCTGCCAAAAGTAGATGATAATTCGTCGTTTCCAGTTGGCCGTGTAGTTATACTTGATAACGTAAGAATCGCCGCTAAAAAACATCCCGTGCAAATTCTGTTCCCACGGAATCAAGTCATGCTCTTCGACCCGCCAGATCTGGAAACAAAGAAGCTCAGTCAATAATAAATGAACAGCCTCGGGCCGGACTAGGAAAGAAAACTGCTGAACAGTTGAACTGAAAAACGTTCCTCGTAACTCAGCTTATTAAATTGGTCGTCCATCATAAACTACAGAAACACTTAGCGACGAATAAACTCTCTGATAAAAAAAAGGGTAAAAATGTTTCTCCGTTCAAACTCTGGAAACAATGCGGGGTAAATCGGCGGTTTCAAAGCAAGCAAGGAGAAGTTAAGAAATGACCACGAAGCGTAAAAATGTGAATTATCGGGTAACAAAGAGGGTATAGCAACCTTAATTTTAGCATTCAATCACTCAGCCTTCCCTTTTTGTGTTCCATTTTTTGCTCAGATGTGGTGTTGCTTAAATTTAAGTGGTTTTTAAACTCAAGTGTATAAATAAAGGAATCGTGTTTACCTCTACATCTCCTGTTCCATCGTCCGGGAGGATTTCCGTTTTGTGTTTTCGTTTTTCGCGGTCGTGTAGTTGACTGGCATCAAACTTTTCGTTGCTTTGTTTAGCTGATTGACAAATCATATAATGTCGTCTGAGATAAGAACAAGCTCGTCTAAAGACTCTTTTTGGAATTGATGTGGTCCTAGGCTACAACTTAGCCCGCTCCAAGGAGAATTTTAAGAGAGCTTACCGTAAAGTTATACCAACACAGTCGCCTTCGTTTTTGTTTTTGCTCTTTTCGTGTGTTTACTTTCGTTCTTTGTTCTGATAAGATAAATACGGTATCGACAGTGAAGATAAAGAACATATACGGGAGTGGAATAAACTCACCTAAGTGGCCCTGCCTGAACACCTTTCCGAGTCCGACCTGTTCACCTTCGTCTCTCCACCCTGAGAAGAACTGTTTGAAAATAGGTGTCTCACCACCCTCCACCACACGGGTGACTTGTGTCCACTGAGGATATCCCTTCTTGCTTATAAATTCCTTCAAATGACAAAAGTGAGAAATAAGCTAGACTACTTCAGAAATACCGTCACTATAATTTAAGAGACCTGTTCAGAATTCCTCAAAGCTGCATGGGAAACAATAACAGGAGAAATTGGGGAAAGGAAAAGAGATGACAAGACTTGTTAAAAAAACATTTAAAAATCCTTTACTGACCAAGTACAAGAGAACGAGAACGGGAATACGCGGGAGATCCCGAGAGGGCAAGAAGGGTCAATCTTGCCCGCTCGGGTATCCAATCAAAATGCAGGATTCGCTTCATCTTTCCCGCTCGCGGATTCAGCCATAAAATGAAATACAATACAACAGACTTAATTTTAAGAGGGCAGTACCTCTTGCAGCGATAAAAGTCATGGCTCCTGTGACGGCCCTCTATCTGTGTCACATTATGTTTATCAATTTAGTCCAGCTTACCAATCCATTTTTCATCCCTGCTTTCTTTTCTGCGTCAGTGCACTTCTTACCGATCCAAACAAATATACCACTACTTCCACAGTCCAGAATAAAACAGTCCTACAACGACATAAACTGGCTCATTAACGAATCCGGATACTTTTTTGTAGGAATCGGCCTTCTGTCCACACGAAACCAGTCAATCCGCACATCGAAACCGCATACTTTTGAAACCACTCTCCAGAGTGGTTTTTTTTCTGAACCGATGGGTTTGGTGAATTCGTGTGGACGTCTGAAACCAGATATGTTTTTGAAGTCAACTACGTCAAAAACTCGGGTCCAGTCTTAAGTGAAAACTCAAACTGGCGGACAATGCTCTGTTGTTCTGACAAGTTGAGAAATGTTCGTTAAAAGCGCTGTAACTTGGAAAGATAAGGCCAGTTTACTCGATATAACAACAACAACATTAAAAAATGCCAACACTCACATCGCAGGCTTGTTTTGCATTTTAAACATGTTCGGTCTAACAAGCTTGGTTGAAAAGTTATCAGTAGGAATCGGAGCATATTTTCGTACAACATTTACCTGTTCTACAATCTTAGAATAAAAAATCGCATACATGGACTATAGAGTAAGTAGGCTTGCACTTAAGTTGGGCTTCATGAGTTGTCTTGATAAGGTTTCTTAGTTACGGTTACTCACAGTATTGAAGTATAGTAGACTTAACAGTTTTAACAGTTGTTAAGTGCACTATGTAGATAGTTGGCTTTTTTAGTAACATTATGTAAATACTTGGCTTTTAGTTAGTATGACAAATGTAAAAATACTGTCAATAAATCATTATTATTAGGTATTATTATCATTATTATTACATGTATTGTTTAGTATGGATTATCATTATACTCTCGACTGTCTCTTAACGGACACCTCTATAAGACGGACACCTCTGTAAAACGGACACCTAGAGTTGGTCCCTGCCTATGTTTATTCCCTTTATTTGACTCTTTATAAGACGGACACGTTGTGCCGGTCCCAAAGGTGTCCGTATTGGAGAGAGTTGACTGTACAATTTTCAAAGGTGTAATATTACTCACATACGGATCCAAATGCTCCTTTTTTAAAGGCATTTCATTGATAGGCGTCATCTCTAGACTTCCACTTTCATCAGAAACCCTGCAAAGAGAATATTGCACTAGCTGTGCGATCTATAATCTTGCCTTCTAGGTTGCAGGCTATTATTCGCTTAATCACTTCCACTATAATATATGGCGCGGAACATACAAAAGAGCGGGGCTCCAATTTAAGTATGTCCTTACAGATAACCCACCCAGCCGAGAAGAATTTGGCCAAACCGGCGGGTCTACGTCCCATGCTCTTTTCGAACAGTGGTGTGGGTTCTTTCACGTTCCACAAGAACCAGATAAGTGAAGTGCTGTGAGACCAGACCTGTTTTCCGTCCTTATCTGAGAAGTTTAGGAAGTCTAACCGTTGTTGTTATTAATTGATATGTGAAGTTCTACTGTTTCTTACAGATCTTTTAAAGCTCTGGGACCACTGTAATTGGGTCACCGCTGTTGTCAGTGGCATCCCTGCCTATTAAGTATTTATTGTTCATTGTTCAGTAATAGGCGAAGCTAATAAAATAAAATAAATAAATAAAATAGATGTCATTGCAAAAGCAGCACTTTGGCTCCTCATTTCTTTTAAGGCTCTGAGTGTTGGTCCGGCCTGGGTTTGAACCAGTGAGACCTCCCACTCAGTAGACCGGCGCTCTCTTAACTGAGCTTATCAGGAGGCGGTTTTTAATCGTTTAGCAATGATTAGAAAAACTTGATCTACTACTCTGTCCTTATTATTCGGACACTCGCGTTAAAAATGGATAAATTAAAATTGACAGGAAAGTTTCAGTTAAGAAATTGAATAAGCTTACATTTGACAGAGGGTTTTAACAAAACTTGCACATGAGACACTCCCGAATGTTTCCGCAAACGTTAGCTTAAAGCGCTAATAAGTCATGCAGTGAATCTGAGTGTAAGTATCGCTCCTCTACATGAATTATATTATCCTGCACAGCATCTTTAAGTTTCTTGTTAGGTAAAGGAAACGCTTCTAAATTATCTCTTTACTTATTTTAGAATAACAGTGTTATAAATGCTGGTATCTAATACCTGTAGAGAGTAACACTTTGTTGACTGGTTTTTTCAAATGCTACGTCATCGCCTCCTTCAGACGCATCCTTGACGTTACCTCGTGAGCCGAGGGCTTCGAAAAAACTGTTTTCGTCTCGGTGGTCTTTACCCTCGTCTGAAAATAATAACCTGGTTATTAAAGGTCAAGAAGGCCCTGAATTGGTACAAAAGCTCAAAATGTACAGAGTGAACTCTAATGATGTAAAAGTAGCCTGCGAGTAAGCTCAGTCTTTATTCGATGTCGCCTGTCAGTGAGTAGTGAGCAAGCGGCGGGAAATCTCTCCTCCGCAAAGAAAGGGCGAGGCTCTCTCCTCCCCAGAGGTCTCTTTACGTGGTAGCTGATAAAAAGGAAAAAAGACAACACAGAGGGCTAAGTCGCAAGGGAGGCATAAAAGACAGGCTTCCTTTCTTTCTTCACCCATCGTCCTCAAGGTGCGTGTCGCTCTCGCGTGACTTCTATTCCCCAAATGGAGAGCTTACTCGCAGGCTGATTAAAGTGTATACAGTGAGATATTGTACCTATAATGACAAGCTTTGCTTTTCCTCCTCTTTCTTCATCTCTTATGCGTCTAGCTACTTCAATTCCCTGGAAAACAAGAACTTCCCATCACACTGCTTCTTGAACCTTGAACCTTGTTGATGCCATAAATTTTGGCAACAGCATAAAGGGGGGGCAACCAAACGAAAATAATGTGACAGAATGCCAGGTTACCCACGAATGGTGATAATAAATAGCGGCTGTGCCGGAAGAAGATGAAAATTAGTCATTTCATTCCGTCCTCAAACGTACGTCTATAGTGTGGTCTGAAATCCATAAACAAACCCACCTTTAAGTATCATCGTAAAGGGATAGTTGATGGAGATAGGGGACTTTGATTTTCCTCGAAGGGATGTTGAGGGAATGATTAACTTAGACATACCTTCATTCTCTCAGTTCTGCTACACTGTGAACCGTTCCAGCAGTGAATAGTCATCCCTTCATCCAGGATAAACACATCTCCTTTATTCAGAGAAGTGTAATGAAGTTCTACCTGCAAAGGACATTTACAAACTTACCATTAATTGTCGCGAAACACTTTAGGAAAGGCTAAAAATGTCTAGCGTGAGCGCGCGCGATGTTCCTTTTCTCCTTCCTCGCGCGCCATACAATTACCTTATACTGTCAATAATGAATCACTAACCTGCGTGGCAGGCTTTTGAAGAAGAAGAGAATGGAGGAATTAAGGTGCGCCAGCCAAGAGCCATGATGGCTCTTGAGTGTTTTGGGTGCGCGAAAAACGCTATAGGCGGGCAAGGAAGGAAGGAACTCTTCACTCTGTCCTCGCTCGTTCACCCCGTTTGCGCGCACCTTATTTCCCTGTTTCCCTTTGCCTTCAATCACCCGCCGTACAGGCTAGACATTGACTTTAAACTCAAACATTTCTAGTCGAATTGTTAAAAAAAAAAAAAAATAAAATAACAAATAATAATAATAATAATAATAATAATAATTAGTAAAATACTGCGAACTGTACTCTGCCAAAAAAGGGTCAATGATAAAGATGTTGCCAAGGATCATATAATTACACGCGTGATCTCTTTTTAATCACAAATAGTTTTTTTAACACATTGTCAAGAAGGATTACAATGTGGTTTTAGAATGAATCGGAAAAACAAAGGGGTATATTCAAGAGCCATTATGGCTCTTAGTATAATTAAATAACCGTAAAACCAACCTGTGATACTCGCACATTTCTTTTGCCCTTGACATGAAAGAGCCTTTTCTCATAAACACCTCTTTGTACTTTCCTGAAGCCAGACTCGACCCCGCCTTCGAGGTATCTACCAGAAAGAAAGATAAGCAAGGCGCGACTAATTTTGTACTTCAATTTGTTCTGCAACTGATCTCAATCACTTTAAAATTCTTTAAAAGGCACGCATCATGTAACGTTTGTAAACTTGTCTTGCATCCGCGTGACTTAACTAAAGTTCTGTTTTTACGTCTCATTTGACAAAGGGTACCCTCTCTCTAATGAAACAGTACAATAGATAAAAATACCACTCGCCTTATTCCTTTAGGAAAATAAGACAAAAATTTTCTTGATTCATGGTCTTGAACCTAATACAGACAAAGAAACAGAAATTAAGAACGAACTGGTTCTTGTTATCACATGTTTATTTGTGCCGAGTGATCAAAGCATCATTTGTGATTGTAGTTTTATTCACTATTGAATTCAGTTATAGTTCGTCCTTGGCACTACGTTTCCTTTCCTTAATTCATTCTGAGTCTAAAATTAATAAATTACCATAATTTACTCCGGGTAGTGATTAGATATTCACTGAATCATGTTGAATATCATAAGCGTATGACGTGTAGGCCGCTGACTTGAAAAGTTCGTTGGGCAGAATAGTCAGAATATAACTTCACGTAGTAAAACCCACATAGACTTTCGGCGACAGACTGAAATGTTTCTTGGGCAGAACAGGAAGTTGGTCTTATATAACTAAGAGATTACTACTGTACACTATATTCAGTTGGTGGTTATTTTGTGGTCAACCTACCTCCCTGTACTGCACAGGACCCCCACCTAAATGATCATCCAACTCTACTGTCTTGTAAGCTGCCACGCCCTGCTCGTCCTATAACGAAATAGTTTATTTGTGGTTTAATTAATATGATACGATTATAATAACACATCCCACATGCTGGTCGGTATAAAGACAAAGCAATATCGTACACTTCTTAGAAGAATTGCTTTCAACTCTGCATTGAAAACCGCATAATAATGCATTTACCTGCGAGGTTGTACTACCGAGCCAAAAATGGATATCCCATTCTAAATGAGACTCAACTTTCCTTGTCTGGTAAATTTAAAGATGAAGAGAAAAGGAAATCAAAGTCAACAGAGGAACAAGTACTGAATGACTGTATAAAGTCAAAACTTCAATAAATAAACTAAACAAAGGAAAAGAAAATAGAAAGCAACAAATGTGGAAAATTCAGTAAAAAAAACTGTAGTGATCACCAGTGTGTACCGATCCGTTCGATGTATGCAAACTTACCGATAAACAAATGTACGAATCTCCTGAATAGAATGTGCCGTAGGTACTCACATCTTGAGCAACAACTTTTAGTTTCTACAACAGAAAGAAAATTCACATTACCTTAGCAAGAAGCATGTAATCCTTCCTAGAGCTACAACTTGCAGTTTTAAACGCAGACAAAAAGATACCGCAAGGAGAAAATTAAACTCCGTAAATTAAAAAGAGCTAAAAAGATCTTAAAAAGATCTGCTAAGCTCTATCTATCCCTGTGAAGGCAAAGTCTGATTTATCCTATCGTGGATCCATTTAAGCACACTTAAACCAAAACAAACCTTTCTATATGAAATGGCTATTCCAGTCCACTGTGGTATTAATTTAAACACTATTCATTCATTCATCCATCCATTCGTTCATTAATTCATTCATTTATCCGAATTCATTCGAAAGTATGCACCCTTCCTATGTCGGTAACGGTGACAGAATACAGTGACTGTCCGAAGAGGACAATAGGGACCTTACAATCCGACAACGGCAACGTCCATGAAAACGTCAATGAAAAATAGACTTTTTTCACTTTCTTTTCGCGATTATTCCAAGGGGCGTAGTTACTTAAAAGAAGGGAATTTGGGTTAGAGCTGAAGAGAAGGGACCGCGCCCAAGTTCTGACAGATATTGTAGAATTTATCGCTTTGCCGTTCCCTTTTTTCAAGTAAACTTAAAATTTGGTCTCTTCACGTCTTAGTTATACAGGGACGGCAAAGAAATGTACAAAAAAGCGTGATGCACGTGCAGAGTTGTTGTTTTGCTCATAAAACTTATTGCTTTTTTGACGTTCCCGTTGCCGTTGCCGTCGTAGTTTCGTAAGGTCCCTAATATATATCACAATAAGGCGAGGCTCCTATCGTAGTTCAGTCATTTTCTTAGACTATTCGTTTACGGCGCGCGCCGCTTCAAGACGGAGGCACTGATGTCTGTCTTGGAGGGAGTTGCGTTAAGGTTAATGAGGGAGAATTTCCTAGCAGGTCGAATCACTCGGGTTCACATCGTTATGTGAGTGGCTATAGGGACCTCAGTACGAAACTACGACGGCGACGGCGACGGCGACGGCGACGGCAACGTCAAAAAAGCAATAGGTTTAACGAGCAATTTTTCTGCTGTCCCTGCACAACTACGACGTAAAATCGCCAAATTTTTAAAGTTTACTTAAGAACGGGAACGGCAAGGTGCATAAATTCTACCATCTCTGCCTGAACCCGTCTCAGCCCCAACCTAAATTCCCTTCTTTTAAGTCGACTGGGAGACTTGAGAAAATTGCCGAAAGTTTCATGAACGTCGCCGTTGTAGGATCGTAAGGTCCCTACTGATAAGTGAAGGACGGCAATAGCTCACAAAGTCTTGAAAAGGTAAAGTTGAGACACATTGTTTCTTAACGATAAACCCATTAAACAAGCTAAGAAGGCTTTGCGAATAATGTTCCTGCAGTGGCTAGACATCCGCTCAAAATCTTAAACTCCAAAGATCAAATGAAAGGATAAAATTATTTGACAAACATTTTGAAATTGAGACTGACCGTTTGCAACCTATCTTTATCAGTTACCTCCTAAAAAACATTGATTTTATAATATATTAACGCTCGCCAAATGAACAACTCGAAGAAAATAATTTAGTGTACATATTATTTGAAACTTTGCGCGCTGTCTTTTTCTTGGTTTGTGGGTTGCTGGGCAACACCACTGCATGCTATATATTTACGGAGATTAAAAAACATTTACTTCCATCAAGATGTGCTATGAATAGTCATAGACTGCAGGAATAGAGTGGAACGACCAGTACTAATCTGTTATATATCAGGTGCTAGTGAGTACAATAGGGGATTTCAAGGTCACTAATTAATGGAAAATAATGTATTTTAAGTATTAGTAAGTATCATTGGATTGTTCCAGTTCAAAAATGCCTCAAAGCAAGATATTTTAAGGATATTTTCCTCTTTTTGTTCAGTTCGCGATCGAAATTTTCTAATCGCTGGTACTTACGAAGGCGTACGAAGTCAGTACATTTGAAAGTTCTCCTTTTCCTTAGTGCAACTGGAAGTTAACTTAGCTTGCTTAAGTGTAGCATGCATTTTTGGCGTTTGTCAAAGAATTGATTACTTTTACCTTTTTCACCGAGTGGAATTAATATTTAGAAAATAATTTCCGCCTTTGGCCCTCTTGCAGAGAAAAGATTTGACACCCAGCGTTGGACGTTGGTTCTCACGCGTTTTTTTCCCCGTTCTCTAACTGCGAAAATAATCTAAAAATCCTGAAAAAGAATGTAAGTTCTAGATGTTTGTGTAAAATTTGAATTTGATCAATATTTAATTTCTTTAGGAACGAAAAAAGCTAACCGATGTTTATGTAAAGGAGAACGTTAACGGCATTTTGGTGGTAAGCCAAGATCTTCAGTGTTCTAGCTGGACAAAAAAATTTAGAATGCTAAGCTTGACTTAACAGAGAGTTGTTCAGCCCTGATGGCTAAAGTTTATACTTAACCCAGTGGTACGATTTCGCTTTGTAAAATGTATAGGAAACCTGCAGAGTCTAGAATGTTCATCTCGTGCGTTTTGAGTAAATCCAGCCGCACCCCGCGTTCAAATTTAAAAGTTAAAAATTAGCAGCCACCCAGGAACACGATTATGACATGCATTCCTCTGCCAGAATTCTTTGCTGGGTATGTAAGACCTAAAATGAAAATTTACGTTGCAGCTGAGTTATGTGTTGCAGTTAATTTGTCTTTAATACGTTGGTGGTGAATTTTAAAGGCCACTCTATAAAATAAAAAACATTGAATTATAAGTACCAGCGTATAACTTTATTTCTGACGTGCAATTAGCAAAGATAGTGAATATAGCTACACTTTTATCGATACTACATTAAACAAAGATAAGCATTAAGAAAATTTTTCTTACGGTTCTGAAACAAATGTCACAAACAGAGCTTTACTCTTTCAGATTATCTTTGGATGAAACCAGTCCCTGAATTTGCCTCCTGTTGACGTACACCTTACTATTCGCTATTCGATTTCCGGTTCCCGTATATATTTGTAACGTTGTACTGAAGAGTTAACGATCTCAGACGCCTTAAACCGAATATGAAATTTGTAATATTTACTAAACATTAGTAAAACGAATAACCACCAGTTACCTCAATCCTCCAGATCTCTAGCCCAGGTTTCTTTCCGGCTTCGAGGAAAGCGTCATCGACTCCCATGAGGAAGAAAATAAATAATATAAAAACAACGGAAGGGAAAATATAATGGAGGAATCGAATCGCGGGATTTGACCGTTAGCTCGGTTTCGTGCTGCGGTGAAATGCCCAAGTCAAATTTCAGCTTGCACGAATTTTACGTGTTCCTGTTTTGAATTAAATTTTCTGTGTCGTCCAAGCGACAAATTCAAAATACAACTCATTCAGACATAAATTTAAATAACTTTGTTTCTGAAGATGCTGCAAATGTAATCAAGGCAGGCAAGGAGAGATTCCTATTGGAGGCACAAGCCGACACGTGTCGTAGAACTTGGCAAAGTTTAATCTCTTGTTCTGGTGTAAACGATTGCCTGATGTTTATTTCTATGCACATATATTATTCCTGTCGTTTAAAGCAGATATAAGCTTTCAATTTTAAGCGGAAATTCACCTTTTAATTCAAAAGTCCTTAAATTGGATGTTAATGTGTCTGTGTTAGAGTTTTCAGTAAAGACTGACGAAAATTACACTGGGTATCCTTTACTACAATATAATACTCATATATTCACTAAATTTCAAATTAACAGCAAGCACCTTAGGAAAGCATCAATGTGCAAATAGTGTCTGTTGGTAATAAATTAAGAACCTCGAGTTTCTTAGTATTGGCCCCGAATTTCCTACAAGGGGAAGTTTTCAGATTTTTTGACGGCCCTTAAAGCGCATTATGTATTGTATTCCATCTTAGTTTCTCAGTCTTGTTGCTCTTTTTCAGAACACATCACTAAGCTAAGATACTATTTGAATTATCATTTGAGTTAAAAGAAGTCGTTTTCCTATGAATCATTCATAAATTGAATCTCTCTCGGTTTTTGTTTTCATAACCTGTTGATTGCGGTTTGTAGCTTGCGCTGGGGCGCTTGAGCGTTCGTGGGCACTGGAATTAGATTCTATCTACGCAGGTGATATAAAAAACTGACAAATTTGCGTTAAACAAATATCATTCTCCGCAAAACGCTGTGATGAGCAGTCACTTGTCAACACGTTGAATATGAACATTAATTTCAAACTGATTCAAAACTGAATATACTAGGCAGCATCCAAAGAGCTCTAGCGCTTGCAGAGAGAAAAACAGAATCAAACTGGGATAAACTTTCAAGCGAAATTGATAGGGACTCAGTTCCATAGCTAGAGCACACTTTTACTTATAAAAAGTAATCCTACCAAAATTGAAAATTACACAATTTTGAATTCTCTTTTATTATTTCAACTTGGATTTTGTTTTTTTGTGTTTTTTAAAGTAACTGAAATCAATGCTGCGCATCCCACCAAATAAGTGAAAATACAGACAAAACAAAATGTTAGTCTCTGAATTATATTTTAAAAAACGATTATGCTAGCCGATGTTAAAACTATGTTACCAACTCATTTTCATTTTGGCCAATTCTAATATCTTAAACATTAAATTGACTATTGTGAGTAATGTCATGTGGGTGTATTGAGATGAAAAAAAAGCAACCCACTTATGAAAAGATATGGAAATCCTAGTCCCTGTTTAAACATTTTGCCTCGATAATTAAGCCATGATAATGCCCGGCATTCCTGCCAGGCCGCTTTGCAATTATATTAGCCATTAGTTTAACTTGCTAGAAAGTCTTCTGCCAGAAGTCTCTAACATATCTTTAAGTTCTTTCAAGCTACAGTAAAACATGCAGAAAAAACTTGCAACATTGCTTCGAAGGAATTGAAAAGCTATGTTACTTGTTTAGCCACCCACGTTAATACCTGTCTAGCAAAAAATCAGGTTGCTGTAATTTGCGTGTGTAATGAAAATACGTGGGAGTCATGCCATGCCGGCAAGATGTACGTCTCTTTTTGCAAAACAAGTTTGCCTTAGGCCGGTAAAACGCGCAACATAACAAATTTTGTTGCAATAAGTAGAACTATCCTCTACGTTTTGCAACAACTTGTCGCAACCTGCAAGACAGGTTTGGTTAGTGGGTAAAACGGGCACCCTCGCTATTCAACTCGCTTTGCAGCAATGTTGCAAAATAAGTTGAACGTTTTTGTTACCTTCAAATCGTCTTCAGTGTTAAGGTAATTCTTTCTTTCGTTTGACCGTGCGCTTTATCCATCTGAAAGACTTTCAATAATCAACAGAGTCATAATTAGAAACGGGATCAAAACTTCTTTATATTACTAGTAATTCAGATATTCTCTCATTTTCTGCATCTCTGACTGGATGCACCAGTAAAGTAGTACAATAATAATTGCTAACATCAAGTTCGAGAAAATGTGTCATTTTAAACGAGAAGGAGATAGAAAACCGCCAAATGTACAAAATCATGTGATCGTTCAACCCACAGCAAAATAAACTTTGTCGAAACCCATTCATTCCAAACAGTGGCCCAAATAAAAATTCACAAAAACAATTCAAATTTCTCTCTCTGTAAAATCCTAAAAAAATTGTCAGAGCAAGGCAGATGTAACCTGCGATCAGGCGGTCTTTCTTGCCTTTGCCGGCTTTCTTGCCATTCGCGAAAAAAGACCGCCTGATCGCAGGTTAGGCAAACGTTTTGCCCGAAGTTTAATTTGAATGGCAGCACTATAGAATTCCGTCCAGGGATTTAAAAATTAATGTGACAATCATGACTCGTAATAACATGGTCTAGACAAAACGTTAACTATCCTTCATCTAGTGATTATTTCCAAAGGAACAATTTAAAAATTCCCTCACTAACAATCGACGACAAAATTAGTTGAGACACTTCGCCCAAAAGGGGGTTTCTGACGCTTTACTGACTTCCAAAGCTTTCCCTCCCCCATCCCTTCCATACAATGTTGTGCCGCTGTTCGAGCTACCTATAGAAAACAACGAACACCCCAACTTTGAATGAAGGGGAGGGGAGGGGGGTGTGTGGATTCTTTTGTTCTCTGTAGTTGCCCTATTTGAGTACAATGTCTCAACAATTTTGTCGCCGTTTGTAGTTTCCCCTCGATTCCCTCCCAAAGAAAGATTCGCTAATGTGCTTAAATTTTGTGCATTGTGTTATTGTCGCATTTGCCAAATTTACTGAATGAAAATCGCCCAACAGACGCAATCTAGCCTGGAATTGATGGGGAAGAAAGTAGATGGGTACAAGGTGTGATGAGCGAGATTTGTTGGAGAGGTTCAAGGTTGTTTGCACCAATTCATCCCATGTAAGAGAATCCAATACAGACTTGGATTCTGGATTCCAAGCAATGGATTCCGGATTCCAGGTACTAGATTCTTTGTCAATGGAACTTGGATTCACGATTCCTTGAGCTGTATTCCGGATTCCGCTGAAAAAAATTTCCTGGATTCCAAAATTCGGATTCAATTACATGGGGCGAACCCAGCCTAGTCTCCAGGCGTTTTCGGCTCGGTCATTCCTGGACTCTACCATGAGCTGTGACGCCACCGAGACGCTCTCTCCCAGGCTTCGCGCGGACAACAGATCAAGAGAGAATGCCTAGGGACTAGGCTGAGGCGAACCTTTAATAAAATAATTTTAATTACCGGCTCCAGTAAGCTCCAAACCAAGGCTTGCTCCAGAGAGATCTTTCTTCCAGGTTCCATCTCAACGAATGATAAACCAAAATTATCCATTATTATCATCATTATTACTACTATTATTGGAGCCTCTGCGGATCGAGGAGAGACTCAGAATTGCAAACGTTTTTTTCAACGGGGGAGGACTAAGTCGTCGAGAGACTTTGCAGAAATAACCCTTCCCGTTATCGTCTTCCCTTCTCAGAACCACGGTACCCAAAATAATTAGGGCTATGCAAACCCAAAAAGTTTAATGCTCTGTCTGCAAAAATCACCAAAGAACAGAATGAATGGATCTTTACACGTTTCTGGCAAACTGCCCACCTACCCCGTCCTAAAGCCAACATTTTGCCATAAGTGAGAGGTAAGTGTTAATTTTGGCTTAGAGGAGGGGTAGGTGGGCAGTTTCCCAGAAATGTATAATTATCCAGAATTATGCTTAGTGCTCCCTGAAGAAATTTCTTTGATATCTTCATAACTCCACTGGTACAGTTTGTGCATGGATAAAGGCACCAATCAATGACTTAAGCACAATTAAGCACAGGATTGACCTAAAACAGCAATTTCCCGTTACATAAACCCTTTTTAACCCTTTCACTGCCAAATGTGACCAGAGGCAACTTCGACAAAAATCCCAAATTTCATTTCATAAAACTTTTAAAAACAAATAGCACCACACGAAACTACTTCTTAGGAGATTTCATTTGAATGGTCATTCCATAGGATTTTGACCACAGACATAAAAGTTAGAACCACCTCACAAAACTCCATCATTCACTCTGGCAGTGCAAGGGTTAAAATCGAAGTGTTATCGTAGATCAGTCAACATCGTATCAACCAAACTATTTTACACTCTATCTTTACTTCTCTTTTAAAACCTAAGTGCGATTCTCTAAGAACCCAAAGCAATATATTAAATAATATACAGCAAGTTAACCTGACTTACGAAGTCAGTTTAGGTTCTAAAAACGTACGATCTGGCTGTTTCGCTTGGAATACCATTTCCCAAACATGCAAAGATACCTTCCTCGTACCCAGACGTCTCTCTCTCTCTCTCTCGATGAAAATGTGCGCGCAAAGGAAGGCGGGAAGAAGACAACGGGCGAGATGGCGCTTCGCCTGCCGTCTGTACCCTTCCCATGGTCCCTTGCAGTTCATCACCAGTCACTCGCGTTTCGCGCTCGCCTCTACCATGCGAAAAACGAAGCGCCTGGGGAGGAGGCTGCAGAGATAGCTAACTAGGCCAGATGATGAACAAGCTTTTAAAAATCGGTGAATTTACAGTTGGAATCAACTACTGGCTGCAGAATACTAGCAGCGAGTTAAGTCTAAAATGAGTTTTAAACTTACATAATTCTCGTGATTCGAGAAAACATACTTCAAGACCTGAATCATAATTTACGAAAATATTACAGAAATTAATGCCTAATAAGTGTCTTTAAATTTCATACAACATAACTAAGTTTTGTTTACCTCCAAATTTCTTGGCAAGAGGATATCCAGAATTAGGAATAAAGTTGACTTCGTGGACAAAAGAAAGTATTGAACATGTTAATTTATAAATGATTTATACCCCCTCCCTCGAACTCATGGTATGCCGGTTTGTTTTAAGAAATGATTGTGTTCGTTAACTGAACTTGATTGATACTAATATTTCTTCTGGTTTTCCTTTACAGTTTGTTTTTTCTTTTTTTAAGTACTGAATGCAAGGAAAACATGTAGGAAATTGAATATTTTCAATTCATAAGAAGGAATATTTCACTGTATAGGTATTTGTTTCAGAAAGTTTAAACTATAATTAGAAGCTCCCTAAAACTACTCAGAAACGTGGAACTGTGTAGTAAACATACAGTGACCTTATCTTTTAGTCGTTTTTTGTTATAATGCGAAATGCCAATACAGAGCGTTTTGCTAAGTTAAGCTAAGTTGTTTTTTTAATGTTCTTGTTGTTGGTGTTCTTCTGTAAGTAACCACAGTACCACTCTTAAATGAATTCGAACACGCACACTAGAAGAACTATGTTAGGCACCATTTAAAAGGATTTAACATCGTCGGTCCAACATCATCCAAATTGCTGGTCCAACGTTGGACCACCATGCTCGGATCCGTTTAAACGGGCAGTTATAACTATCGTCTCAGAACAACGATGAAAAAGGGAAAATTATTGCGAACGGCACTTAAAATATTACATGTAACAGCAAATTCACCCTTCACATCCATTTGACAGGCTAAATGTTTCCATTCGCCACTTTAGAAACGAGAGGGAAATGGGCCGAGTTATTTTTCGCAAAGACTTCTGGGACTCTTACTAGGGACTGGGAAACAATTAAAACACGATCCCACAGACAATTGCGGGAGACATCTCGGCTCCAGTTCCCCTCTCGTTTCCAAAGAGGCGAAACGACCTCTTCAATGTATACCCAAAATAATAGCACCCAAAACTACATGTACACTATCAATAAAGTTCAGTCCATTCCAAGGATCCACACCTTGTCCCTTATCTCCATTACGGTGACACCACTTCTGGAATACACTCTCAACCTTGAGATGCTTAGCTGTCAGTTAGAACTGTGTACTCTGTAACGGGCCATACACAGGAGTCGCAATAGATGCCAGGAACCGTAGCCGAGTGATTCCGAATTGATCCCGACAGCGTTGGAAAAGATTTCCGAATACGCATCAGACAGATCTACTGGGACGTCCACCAAGTATTTCCAAGCACGGTCTCGAAGGATTTCCATTCGTTACTGCCAAATTACAACAACTGCTTAGTAGTTACACGGCCGATGACGGTGCTAAAAAATGCAAGAAGCGTGATCTGTTTATGGCAGGAATCCTCTGAAGAAATAAACTGCTGTACATCATAGAATGCTCATTTTTTTTAGATGTAGGTTCCCCCTAAACAGAGCTACCCCACCTTTTCACAGTGAGTTTTCCCAAGGAAAGGATCAATAATTATTACAGCCAGAGAGCAAACAGCCAGTTCTCCTTGACTGAGTTATTCAATTTCTACGTACGCAAGTCACTTTTACAGCTATAAATACAGACATAATTGTTTGTTGTTGTTGTTGTTGTTTTAAAAACATCCTTTGGATCCTTTGGATTTCGAGCGGTTGCCAGTACATTTTCCGTTAATCAATCTTCACAGTGGAGTATATCTTCCTTACAAAAGCACTTGCACCAGCGTATCCAAAGGTACCTGGGAATAAAATGAAACAGTCAAGGGTTATCACTTAACAATGATAGAAGTATGCAATGGCGGATTCAAAAAAAGCGGGGGGGTAAGAACCTGAGATAAGGGGAGGCGGCCTCAAAAAAAAGTTTCCGCCCTTTCGGCCTCAGTTTGGTCTAAAATAAGAGGGGGAGTGGGCCCCCGGGCCCCTTCCCTGGATCCGTCACTGGTTTTAGAGACCTTTGGGTTCGAGGACGAGGACGAGATTAGAAATAAAGTTTTTTTCGCGCATCACGGCATCCTGGAAAGCCTCACTTTACAGTTTCTTTTTTATTTCACCGGAAAAGTTTGCACGGTTATTTTTATTGAAGGAGGTTAAGCCCTCGCACGATCGCAAAATGATAAACCTCTTGATAACTTGTTTCCGTCACTACGACCATTTTCCCCAAAAACTCGTAGTGGAATGACGACGGCTGTAATCGCGTTTTCCCGCCAAAATGACGCTGGTTCACGCGCTTGCACTACTTAGCTTAGCTTAATATTGAGAAAATCTCGTTCTCGAAGTCGTTCTCGTCTTAGAATCTAAAGGTCTCTAACATTACAACTATAGTTTCTTAAGACTACATAGTTACTATTATTGTGTTCAGCATTTTAAAACACAACACCAACGCCGATGTGAAATAATTTGCTTAGTCCTGACAACCATGAGAGGAGATTTATTTGCAGCCTTTTCCATAAATTGCCGTATGTCTCCCTTTTCTCAAAGTGAGTCTTCACTTTCATGATGAAGCGAAACAGGCTCAAAACAGCCGGCTGTGACTACTGCTGTCTTAAGTACAACCTGTTCAAGGCTCTTTCCATTTGAGGAATACGCAAAAGTAAGAAGCTAACTTCATCCTAATTTGATTAGTCCAAACTATACCACCTGTCTTGGTATCAGCTATTATTGTACATTGTATAAATAAATATTATACTGTAAAACCTTTTTTGCTTGGAGCTCAATTAACAGACCTGTTGCAATGTTCATCATTTTTGGTCAAAAGCAACATTAGTGTACCATAGCACTTACCACACATGATTCCAAGGCCAGCACTGAACAGTGCCATGTATCCAAAATAAAATGTTGTCTGAAATAAGCCGTACATTCTGTAAAATAAAGGATACACAAAGGCTTTTTTAAAACGATAAGAAAACATCAAAAGGGGCGGGGGCATTTAAACAACTCACAAAATCCTATTAAGCCTTCACCTCCCACCCAGACGTTCTTAGGGGTTCGTCACGTTAAGCCTCAGCGTGACTTACTTAACTTGTAACATAAGTAATGAGCTCTGAAGAAAAAAAACATACTTGGTTTTGAAGAAGAAGTAGTAAAATGAGTAGAGATAAACGTAACCAGCCGTAGACGCCGCTGAAAGAAACGCTGTCCACTGCCTGTAAAAAATAAAGAAATAAATATAAGTTGTAAAATCAGGCAGTCACTTATGACCACTTATCGCAACACGCTATAAAAACCTACTCCCTGACACAAACAACTCACACATAAACAATTTTGACTGATAAGTTGATTAGACTCAAACTTAAACTGTTATAAAAAGCTTTTGGAGCGAGCTGACAGCTACATGTATTACTACGTGCTGAACATCCGCCGTTAATGTCAATAATGAATTGTTTGACTCACCATCTGTAATCTTCAGCGTTAAGAAGGAAATAAGTGCACACAATAGTGACACACACAGTTACGATGGTGAGAATCATGAACACAAGGAACATAAAACCAAACACATAGTAGATCTTGTACGCCCAGAAGGATGTGAAGATGAAATACCTGGAGTTAACAAACAGACAAGAAAAGTATAAGCAAAATATTAAGAAAATAACACTGTTCCCTATGTCCCCTCAAGTTATGGTTACAAATACTAGTTGGATAGTGAACAGTAAAATACTGCAACAAGGCACATAAACGTTATTAAAAAGAGACAAAGTGTACACTGGTTTTGCCAATTGTAAAGTTGGCTATGTTCGAGTTCACAACCAACATACTGGGCTCGCTGCCAATTAGCCTGCGACCACAGACTTATTTCCAGTCGTCGCTTCTCCCCAGCTGGTTGCAGAGAAACAATGACTGGAAACAAGTCTGTGTTCACAGGCAAGCTGCCGATTGGCAAAGTCTAAAATTCGCACCTTCGGAGGGGCAAGCGTAGAAGAATGAGAAATATCTTTACATAATTTTCTTCCAGTGGTATTTAGGAAATACTTTTAATGGTTTAAAGAAAGTAATATGTAGCGAACAGGTAGCGAACTCGTGTATGACAGTGTAACATGAAGATGCACAGCTGTAGAGGGAGCTCTTCTACTAAGAACACTCCTTTAATTGAGGTGAAGGTCCATTTATAATAAAAAGTCATTTCTGACCTCTCTATACTCTGAAATATTGTTTAGTTTAATATACAATCAAAAAACTAAGATCATTTTTCCAGATCTTGACAATTTTCATAAAGTTTTGCAGGGGACTAACAGATATTGCTCCTGACAAAATTATCATTTGAGGCCCATTGAACACACTTAAAAAGAAAAAGGACTTACATTTCAATGAATATAGAACCAAATGGCAGAACTCCCCCAAGAATAATGATCACCAATGGCTCCATGAACCTGCAACATAACAAATACAGAAATGAACATGTAGTAATAGCTACCAGGCAGAAAGATTAACATGACTATCAACATGAATCAGCATACACAAGAACTGGGTGAAACACCCTTGAATTAACTGTTAAGTTAGTAGTTTCGTTAGTAGCCCTACGTTTGGCTGACAAAAAATGTTTGGACTGGTAAAATAAAAAGATGAAACCAAACAAACAGCAGCGTGCAAAGAAAGTAGACTTATCTTTTTAAAACTTTATATTGGTGAGCAATTTTATATTCAGTTCTTACTTGAGTGCATATATATTCTTTTTATTTTTTTTTTTATAATGCATTATCTTTTATTTGCTTCTTGTAAAGTAATTTACAAGATTTAACGGAGGGTTTTTTGCGTTACGAGTTTGGGGGGCTTAAATTTGGAGAGGCTTATTTTCGGAATTTTATGGTATGTTCTTAACTTGCCCGCCCGGCAAGCTCTAAAACTGACTTCCTTTGCACCCTGAAAGGGGATTCCAAAACTGTAGACTACACAGTTAACATGTACTACCCATCAAGAAATTGATACTGTTGAAACAAGATAGTTTCTTACCATTTTTTCTCTGGTATAGGTCTGGGAACTGTGTTCACTCTACAAGGTACATTGGGTGCGCCATACAGATTTCTCCCCAACACAGTTCCCACCAAGGTCAACGGCAGGATCACAAAGATAACAATGGCTGTAACAGCAAGCTGTACATAATAAAGAAACAGAAACATATGAAACAAAATATGTTATTATGAAGTTGAAGTCAAGGTGTCACTAATGTCTAACCTATTCAGGGAAACAAGAAAAGTAAATGGGAATTGATTTTTCCTCTGCTTTTAACATACACGTACAACATACACTATTGAATTCTAACCAAAGTACATGTATTTGGAGCTCACACTTCTAATAGGCGGGCAATCCCAAGCCCCGCCCTAGTCCATGAAAGAAACTACAGGGCAGCTAGAAAGGCTTTGATGACTGTGATAAAAGAGATACATTGTAACTGTAAAAAAAAGTGATTACTAAAGATGCTGGATCAGTGGTGTCTAAGTAAAATTAATCTCAACACAAGGCTAGAGTTCAAAATTTCCGCTTTTGAATCTCTTACAGTATACAGATTCCAATATTTATCTGATCGACTTAGCTTAGATGATTTCAGTAAATGTTTAGAGTTTCACTACCCCACTCAGGGCACAACAAAAGTGCTGTCGATTAGCCCAGGACCAGTAGAGAGGCCTCAAGGCTGTGCTCTAGCAGAGCCCAGTGGCCCCCTGCTGGCGCCTAACTTTTGCTCCAGGGCAACAAGAAAATCTTAGATTTTCATACAAATCATATGCTGGGCACCCTAGATTTCACAGGTTCAGATCACTAAGCTCCCGTCAATTTTCATAGAGCACAGCCTTGGGCCTGTTGCGATAGTGAGTTTTCATTACAAGTTGTCCAACTGGCAAGACACATTTGCCAAAATAATTAAAGTAGTGAAAAGGGGATTGGTAGGCCTGCAAGGCTGCTTCAAGGTAGTAAACTTTAGCAAGAGCTCACCCAAAGGGCAAGTGATTTCTTACAATTTCATCTGCTTCTACCACTAATGTAACACATTGTTTTGATTGTTAACAACAAGGTAAATCAATCATACCCTGGCAAAGATAATGTCTGCCATCTTCAAAACTGAAAGTTGTTTGGCACAAAAATTCTAGAAAACCAAGAATTTCAGAATTCACTTCCCTTAAACAAATTGTCCACTCACCATTGTAACAAATGGGATGGCTCTTGATGCATGATAATAAATTGCAATAAAATTGATCATAAATGCTGTTCCACAGACAAGAAGGGGAAACAACACAGCACTTAACGCCATCTGCTTTATCCACTGTCTCCCTACCAGAAACAAAAAAATGCATGATATTAAAAAAAATAATAATGATTTCTCCTTACAGCTCCCTACTCCAACGTTATCTTAGTGAGATGATAAAAAGAACCCTAGGTTTTATAAATTTCAAGCAAAAACTGGAAATTCCGTTTGAAAAGTCCAATGGTTTGTCCCATTCCATTTGAGAAGCTTCAGAAAATGTGGACTGTGATTTGACGTGATAATTTTTTTAAAAAATTTTTTTAGTCTGATCAGATAATTTATAATTTGGATATCCTTTGTAGTGAGTCGTTCTCCCACCACATTAAATTTTGTAACTGTATGTTTATGCACAAGATTTCCACCCATGTGGTTTGCGTAAAATAACGGTAAGCACCTCCTGCATCTACTATCATGTTGGGGGGCATTTTGCCATGTTGTGTCTTGCCAAAGGTGCAGTTTTTACCTAAAATCAAGTATTATCATATAATAGACTTTATTAAAAACTGAATCATTGGATAATGCAATAACTTAGCCATCATGGTGTATGACTCATTATACCATGCTCTCCAACTATGGTAACTGCACACGTCTGCTCAAAATTAAAAACAAGCTGAAAATCGTTGATTTTACAAATAAAGTCGTGAAGAATTTTCGATATTTTGTGGCGTTTTTAAGAAAAGAATCATGCTTGTTGGATATGAGATGATTATAGCCAACCTGGCACTACATGCCTCGTTGGCTATCTACTGTGGAATAATTGTTAAGTATACTTTACCTCCTTGTCTAGCATACAAACTGCCACCCATGAATCCATTTACAGGAGCTGTTGCTGCATATACAAATATTGTTGTACTAAGGATGGAGCCACGTCTGTATATAAATAGAAAATAGTCCACTTTATAATAAATGAATAATAAATTAAATTACACAATTCTATTAGATTAAACTTTTCCTGTCAAATAAAATCTGAGATCAAGTATTATGGCATTCTTTTACTAGAGAGCTACAATGCAACATTCTTGTTGAATCCTTTTCATTGTTTACACAGTAATAATTGTTATTACTGTGCAAACATTGAAGGAAAATGTTCGTACAGTATGCCTCTGGAAACTTGTCTCACAATGGCATGACAAAAAAATAAGGAAAAGATGATTATAGTCTATATTATTGAAAGTAGTAAAAGATTTTATGAAGAATGAAAAGGGTGAAATTAAAGGCCTTGTGCAGAGCTTGAAATAACGGCTGGTCAACAGACAATGTCCAGACTTATTAAGGGGTTGACCGGATTTTGACTGGTCACATTCGATAATATTGAAAATGAAATAAATCAAAATTTCCATGCTAATCAGTTGTTATCAGTATGTAGCGAGATGCTGTGTATTGCAGAACTTTGAACTGAAATCCAGGGTGAATTGCAACTAGAAACGTTCTTTACAATTCACTCATGGAAATAGACATCAGGGATCAAGCACTTCCGGTCACAAATTTAAAATATTGTCACTTTTATTAGTTAAGCAATGACTTTTTTCAAGCCTTCTTATAGATCGTGGAAAAAAAATCAAATTTCAAAGTATTTTGCAGAATTACCTGAATTTCACAGCTCTGCAACCATGCGAAATATCAAAAGCCATGTTTTTTGGAAATACATAATGCCAATTTTTTTCATGGGCCCTTGTTTTAAGAGTTATTAATCTTATAAATTTGACTGGCTAGAAACGATGTGTGACCGAGCTAAAATGAATTTGGCCTGTCATTTCGAGCAATGGGTGTGATCATAATCTATATTTCGGACTTTTTTTCCTTTCTGCGTGCTTTAAGTGGCTTTAAAACCCATAAAACAGAGAACTTATGGAGAGAAAGGGGTAAAATGAGCACATGGTCAGCCTCAGGTTTGTCATTCTAATCAGTAGTGTTACAAGTTATTGATGTGAAATAAGGACCTTTACCTTACAGGAAATAAATTGGAGAACTAATAATAAACCCAACTCCTGTTACTGGTAGATTTCCAAAAACACCGAGGCAGCAGCACAACGTACATTATCTTGAACAGAAATGCACCAACAAAATAAAAATGCTTACGCAGTGTATAGGTCTCCCATGATGGTGAATAAGATAACACAAAGGGCAACGGTGGACAAATGATATCCTGTGCCAATCAGACTGGTGAATAACAGACGGTGTGATGCTGGTCTGAATACATCCCCATGAACTTGCTTCCAGCCATATTCATCACCAAGATCCCTTTCCTAAAGATCACACAACACCTTAATCATTATATATTAGACTAACAAAACAGTTACATATACAACACAGTTCATAAGTGTACAAGTGTTAATTTACACCCTCCAGGGCCCAGTTGTTCGACGGCCAATTAGCGCTTAACCCGGGTTTCTCTTTCTTGTGTTCAAAAGCATTTTCTCGGATAATTTTCTCTGTTATATTTAGAGCTTTCAATCATCAACTTGTAGACAAAAAGAATTAAAACTGAAATGCTTTTTAAGCTTTCAAATCTGAATTCAAATCTCGCACTAACCCTGGGTTATCTTAACCCAGCTTTGAACAACTCAGCCCATATACCATGCCAGGTTTAGGAATGAATTTTCTGTTTTTTTTCCTTAGTACGCCTGAACAACGTACTATATTTACTGTAAAAAAAGACGGGACACAATATATGGTTAGTGAAGAGCTGGATTCCGAGCTCATTTGTTTGAGAAATGCAGAACTCTTGGCCATACAGTGGCCATAGACCATGTCCGTAATTGGCGTATCAAGGTGTTTATAACGTGATTAGGGTAAATTTAAATACCAACATACACAGAAACATGGCTGAACTAAGACGGAATAAAATACAGATATGCATAGAACACGGCCGTACTAAGCGTACTCACGTACTAAGACTGAATAAAATACCAACATGCATGAGAACATGGCTGTACTAAGTGTACTAACGTACTAAGACCGAATAAAATACAGATATGCATAGAACACGGCCGTACTAAGCGTATTAACGTACTAAGAACGAAAAAAATACCAAAATACATAAAACATGGCCGTACTAAGCGTACTAACGTACTAAGACCGAAAAAATAGCAACCTACATGAGAACATTGCCGTACTAAGCGTACTAGCGTAGTAAGACCGAAAAAATACCAACATACATAGGACATGGCCGTACTAAGCGTACTAACGTACTAAGACCGAAAAAATAGCAACATACATGAGAACATTGCCGTACTAAGCGTACTAACGTACTAAGACCGAATAAAACACAAACATACATAGAACATGGCCGTACTAAGCGTACTAACGTACTAAGACCGAATAAAATACCAACATACATGAGATCATGGCCGTACTAAGCGTACTAACGTACTAAGACCGAAAAAAATACCAAAATACATAAAACATGGCCGTACTAAGCGTATACTAACGTACTAAGACCGAAAAAAATACCAACATACATGAGATCATGGCCGTACTAAGCGTACTAACGTACTAAGACCGACAAAAATACCAAAATACATAAAACATGGCCGTACTAAGCGTACTAAAGTACTAAGACCGAAAAAATAGCAACCTACATGAGAACATTGCCGTACTAAGTGTACTAGCGTAGTAAGACCGAAAAAAATACCAACATACATAGCACATGGCCGTACTAAGCGTACTAACGTAATAAGACTGAAAAAATAGCAACATACATGAGGACATTGCCGTACTAAGCGTACTAACGTACTAAGACCGAATAAAACACAAACATACATAGAACATGGCCTTACTAAGCGTACTAATGTACTAAGACCGAATAAAATACCAACATACATGAGATCATGGCCGTACTAAGCGTACTAACGTACTAAGACCGAAAAAAATACCAACATACATAGAACATGGCCGTACTAAGCGTACTAACGTACTAAGACCGAATAAAATACCAATATTCACGAGAACATGGGCGTATTAAGCATACTAACGTACTAAGACCGAGGAAAATACCAACATACATAGAACAAAACCGAATAAAATACCAACATACTGATAGAAGAAAGTTAGTGAAAAAGTGGAAGAGTTAAAAGAGTAAGAAGATTAAGAAGAATATAGGCAAGATGTAAATCAGATTCCTGGTTCCTCATCGTGTAGCGAGGGAGTTGCTCGAACACACCCCCACATATTTTGGTGGAGAACCTGTTACTTTGGTGAAGAGTTTTGTACGTGGTTTAAAGCGTGAAATACGTGAACATGTTATTTTACAACAACCGCCTGATTTCGAGTCTGCATTGAACATTGCAAAACTGAAAGAGTTAGTAACTCTTAGCCGTAAATCGAATAATGGTCAAGAAGTCGAGAATTTGGAAGAATTACAGTTTAACCCCTCAGAAGAGGAAATCAAACAATCTGTCGGGGACGAATTTAATGTTTGGAGTACAGATTTTCAAAAAAGTGGAAATCGTCGCATTAATAGCAAATCTAGATCGGGCAAACTTAATCGTTTTCGTTATGGGGGTAGCGTTTTCAGTAAAAATCCTAAATTGGGCAGTTATGGAAGTTCGAAACCCAACTTTAGAGGCCTGTATCGGAGAAACAATATGCAGAATGCTTTTCACCAGGGAAAAATTGGCGCTCAGTTAAACTGGCTGGCGCCCCTACGGAGTGTGGTAGTGAACCCGTGATGGGGGCGCTTGAAAATTCTACAAGTAATAACCATTCTTAAGTCGGATCTATAGTTCTGATAAATGTGCTTTCAGTAACTCTGGAAATTCGGCCGAGAATGTTACTAAAAAGAATGTTCAAGAGTTAAGTCATGTTTCATTTTTGTTTTATCTCGTCAGACTTTAAAATGTTTAAACCTCAAGTTACCGTTACATGTCAACAAGGGTGTTCTCAAGAAGGCCAGCCTCAAAACGTCCCTAATGAAAATATTATGTTTGGAGTTCTTAAGTGTCTTTCTCAGATGATAACAAAATTTGATGCTGTAATCGCCGGGTCTTCACCAAGTGAAAAAGAAAATGCTCATTCGCCAAATGTACCTATGTTTTCTCCTAAAAGTGAAGTCATCTATGAGAAGTGTTCAAGTGAAAATTTATCTCGAGAAGTCAGTTTAAAAGAAATTAAAAAAGATGAACAGTTGGCGCCCGAGTCTGAAAATGAAGAAAATGTGGAAGTAAATATTCATCCTTTCGAGAGTGACAATGTTAATGTAAGTGTAGCAATAAAAGGCAATACTGTAGTTATCGTGCACTCCTTGACACAGGAGCAGCTGTAACAGCAATTAGTTCTCAAGTTTGAGATAAGTATCTTAGACATAAAAACTGTTGTTTAGATTCCTCGTCGACCAGTTGTGTAACGACTGTAAGTGGTTCCCCTCTTAGTGTTCTTGGTAAAGTATGGCTCAATTTTGTTATCAAGTCTGATGTTTTTTTTTTGAGTTAAATCTATGTCATCAAAGATTTAACTCATTACGTTGTTTTGGGCAGAGATTTTCTTCAAAAATATTGTTCGATAATTGATGTTATGAAGAACATCATTGAATTTTTCCACCCCGAGGATCCCCTTCCCTTTGCTGATAGTTTTGGTGATGATTTGGATGCTGAAGTTTTTGATAATTGTATTTTGTCAGTGCATGCTGATAATTCTTTTACTATTCCCGCTCAATCAGAAGTCGTTGTCGTTGGTAGATTAAAGGGGCTGTGTCACGGCAGTCCAGTTCATTTTGTTTAATTTTGCCAATTACTCTCCCTAAATCGCTATGGAACTTAAAGTAAGCAAAGAAATTACAGGTAAATGACAAAATCAGAGATCCGAGACAAACAAGTATGTCTCCTGAGCATTATTTTTGAAGTTGCAAGCAGCAGGGATCAACTTTGAAAAACTGTTAGGCTGAATAGTTTTCAAAAACCCTAATTCAATCCGTTTCAATCTTCTTCAGTTTTGCCCATCCGTGGCATCTGTTGTCTCTGTTATGTTATTTTAACCTTCCTTTAAAGTTTTAAGCGTCTATTTTTATGTTTCTCTTAATTTAAAGGGCATTTTGTAATTTCCTAATTTGGCTGAATTTCGTGACACAGCTCCTTTAAGTTCAATGCCGAAAGGTGTAAACACCAGTGCCAGTGAAATTTATGGATTGGTCACGCCCAAGTCTGATTTACCTCACTGTTCCTCAGTTTTTGGAGCGTCAGAGCTCGTAAAAGTTTTTAGTGATGCAGCTATTCCTGTTAGGATGGTTAACCCTTCCGCTCAACCAGTTAAAATTTTTCGTAGGACTAAATTGGCAGATTTTGAGCGTGTTGATAATGATTTAGCAACATTTGAGATTAGCAAAAATTCCCCTTCTTCGGATGCTCAACATAATTCTTCAGATGATCGGCAACAGCCAAAATATTATTCAGAGTTTCCTGATTTGTCGAATAGTATTTTGAATGATGATGACAAAGTAAATTTAAGAATTTGTTTAATAGATATAGTAATGTTTTTGCTTTTCCTGGGGATCAGTTGGGTAGAACATCCCTTGTACAGCACGTCATTGATACTGGTGATGCTACGCCTGTTAAGCAAAGGCCATATAGAGTATCTCCTTATGTCAAGAAAGAAATTGACCCTCAGGTGGACGAAATGCTTGAAAAAGGAATAATTCAATAGTCTGTCTCTGCTTGGAGCTCTCCAGTTGTTTTGGTAAAAAAGAAGGATGGGTCATATAGATTTTGTGTTGATTTTCGTAAAGTTCATAAAGTCACTAAAGTAGATAGCTTTCCAATGCCTTTAGTTGCTGATGCACTAGATTCTTTAGCTGGTGCAAGCGTGTTTTCAATGTTGGATCTCAAAAGTGGTTTTTGGCAGATACAAATGCAGTAGGATTCGCAACAAGACAGCCTTTGCTACGCACAATGGCCTTTATGAATTTCTGACAATGCCGTTTGGATTAGTGAATTCAGGAGCCAGTTTTCAAAGACTTATGGGTCATATTTTGAGAGGCTTAGAATACCGTTTTGCTTTGATTTACATCGATGATATAAGTCTGTAGACGAGCATTTATTCCATTTGAAGGAAGTTTTTAGAAGGTTGCGTGACGCCAATGTTAAGTTGAATCCAAAGAAATGCAGTTTCGTTAAGCAAAGAGTAGACTATCTTGGTCACGTGGTTACGCCAGAAGGCATTAGTCCCAACCTAGACAAAGTAAGGGTGGTTCAGGAATTCCACACCTCCACAAATTTGAAGGAATTGAGGAATTTCTTCGGTCTTAGGCTAATTATTACAGACGTTTTGTAAGAGGTTTTTCAAATATTGCCAACCCTTTGAATGCTTTGACAAAGAAGAACGTTCCTAGCTTGTGCCGAGGCTTTTGACAAGCTTAAGCGTGCCTTGGTTTCTGCACCCATTTTGACATATCCTAATTTTCGGGAACCATTTTTGCTATTTGTTGATGCTAGCTCCACTGGTATTGGTTTTACCTCGACACAAATTCAAAATGGAAAATAAGTAGTCATTGCTTATAATGGTCGTGGTTTGAATCAGGCAGATCAAAATTATAGTACCACAGAAAGAGAAGCTCTCGCATTAGTTGAGGGTATTAAGAAATTTCATCCTTATTTACACAATCATAAGTTTACTGTTGTTACTGATCATAGTTCTCTTCGTTGGTTAATGAATGTTAAAGATGCTTCTGGTCGTCTCGCAAGATGGGCCTTACTTTTGCAATAATATGACTTTAATATTGTTCATCGCCCTGGTAGAATCCATGGTAATGCTGATTGTTTGTCTAGACGTCCATATGATTCTTGTGAAATAAGTTCGCTCAAGAAAGAAGAACCTCAAACGCCCCACACTCAAGAAATGCAAAGAAGAGATCCTGAACTAGCTGCAATGATTGATTTTCTAGAGAATGATATCCTACCTACTAACGATAAATATGCACGCAAGATTTTACTGACAAGCGACAATTTTTATATTGGTCAAGATGGTTTGCTTTACCACATCGATTTTATTCGAAGGCATAATGCTTGTGAATCTTTTTCTAAGCTTGTTGTCCCAGCTGCATTACGTTTTGAAATTCTCTCTAATGTACATGACCATATTGCCGGTGCTCATTTTGGCTTGAACAAAACTTTTAGTAAACTTAAGCAAAGATATTGGTGGAAAGGTATGTTTAAAGATGTAGAACATTGGGTTAAGTCTTGCGTTGAGTGTTCAATGAGGAAGTCTCCACGAAATTCGACAAAGGCCCCTTTACTTCCGATTCCAGTCGAGGGTGCATTTGACAGAGTGGCTGTTGATGTTTTAGGTCCTTTTCCACCTTCTAGTAAAGGCAGTAGGTATATTGTAGTTTTTAGTGATTATTTAACTCGTTGTGTCGAAGCAACTGTTATTGCACGTCTTTTGATTCATGAAATTATTTCTAGACATGGGGCACCACGTGTGTTCCTCTCTGACAGAGGAACTAGCTTTTTATCTAAAGTCGTTGCAGAAGTTTGTAAAATATTTCAAATTCAAAAGGTCAATACTTCTAGTTATCACCCAAAGACCGATGGTCTTGTAGAAAGGTTTAATTTTACCTTGTGTCAGTCTTTGTCAATCTACGTTTCCAAAAACCAGAAACATCGGGACAAGTTCATACCGTTTATTTTTTTTGCGCGTAGGACTTCTGTTTTAGATGCAATTGGGGATTCTCCTTGTTACGTTCTTTATGAGCGAGAGCCACGCTTGCCAATTGACGTTAAGTATTTGCCTCCTGTGGCTGATGATTTGAGTACTTTGGTCCTTGACTATCGAAACCGTATTGTCGAAAAAGTCGAACTGGCTCAAAATTTAGTGAGAGAAAATTTACAACGTGCACAACAAAAAATGTGGATTATTACGCTTAAAATACAAAAAAACCTGTTTTTGAAGTTGGACAACGTGTTTGGGTTTATACCCCAAGAACTAGGAAAGGGTTATCCAAAAAGTTAATGCATAATTGGTTGGGTTCATACAGAATCATTGAGAAATTGTCACCGGTTCATTTTAAGTTGCGCACGATCACCAATAAAAAAGTTGCTTTTTCGTGTCACGCAAATCGTATGAAGCCGTTTGTTGATCCAAATTTGAGACCAATTGACCCTCCGCCTTTTGATGACCCTGCCGAGCCGTACATTCAGGAATCTGATATTCCAAAAGATTGTTTTGAACCAATTTCTGCTGAAGCGAATCCTAAAGACACTGACTTAAATCCAGTTAGTATTGAGATGCCACTGTCCCTACAGCCTCAAAAAGAGAAAGAGTCAAACAAAGAATCAGACCAAGAAAAGACAAAGAATCAACTTCAAAATGCAAAAGAATCAACTCCGGAAGCAATTGTTATCGACAATGAAACTGTTTAGTGCAGAAAATATTCTGGAACATCGAAAGAGAAATGGAAAGGTTGAGGACTTGGTCAATGGCTCACCTATCCTAAAAATCAATCAGCGTGGGAACCGGAACACCATATTTTGGATAGACGTCCCATTGGTAATTATCTTCAATCACAGAAAATAATTCTAGTTTTTGTACTCTGCCTTCCTGCTTGGCTTATATTTCTTTGATTTTCTCTTACCCATGAATTGAGTTCGGTAATACCCAAAGGCAAAATATTTTTGTCCATGAATTTATGAACGCCTTCCCTCCGTTTCTCTAGTCTCTCTATAATCTTTTTGTAAGTAGTTGTTTAGATTATGTCATGAATTTGATAAGTTTTTGTCTTCAGAAATTCAAGTTAAGTAGTTGTCTTCAGTATCTGTCTTTTTAAAATCTTTTGATCTATTAGCTTTCTATATTTATGTTTCGTTTCTGAGGCTATTTTGTTTAAGTCGTTTCTGTAAAATATATAGTTATTATAACCTGAGACGTCGGAAATTAGATAATTAGATACATTACGTGCTTTGTAATAGTTATTTTGCAAAGTTGCTTGCATTGGTATTTCGTCATGTATTCAATCACCGATTCTTCTGTTGTTCTTCGATGGCTTGTCAGTGATTTTTGGTGATTTTTTTGGGGGGTGCACTCAAGGGGAGTCTTGGTAGAGCTGTGCCGCCGAGGCCTTAAAAGCTCGACCCTGTTCAAGACATGGCTCACTTCGCTACCCTGTTTAAGATTCTGATTTGTTTCGTTTTACGTAAAGAATCAAGTAGTTTTTAAAACTAACATCACAGAAGTAGTTACTTTGGAAAAAAGTTATTGATATTGCGAATGTAAACTGCTCATCGCAAGCCTTTACAGTCTTTCTAAGGCTTCCAGCCCCAAAAGACACTGTTCAAGACCCTTAATAGTAAAATTCTACACCCTGTTTAATACTCAAAACCTTGTGTTCAGCAGCCCGTACCTGGCCTGTATAAGCCAAATAAGGGAGTGCTCCCCCCCAACCTCGAAACAAGATAGCCTTGTCTTCCAAGTATGCGTTCTCCGCTACATTCAAGTTGAAATGGCATTTCTAGCAACCAGTGTTATATGCTACTACAGGATGATTTATGCTGTTAATTCTCAACGTTTTCTAGTGGTTCTTTAGTCAAGTCCTTCACAAGAACACTGTCATCAATATATTTAGCTCACGTTTTCAAGTCTCAAGATTCAAGGAAAATGTATTGAACACTGAACTATTGACATTGAACTGTTGACATTGTTCTAATTAATACTAAGGTATTTTAATGGGACTTGCTACGTTAGTACGCTTACTACGGCAATGTTCCATGTATGTGGGTATTTTTTCAGTCTTCGTACGTTAGTACGCTTAGTACGGCCATGTTCTCGTGTATATTGGAATTTTATTCGGTCTTAGTACAGCCATGTTCTATGTATGTTGGTATTTTATTCAGTCTTAGTACGTTAGTACGCTTGGTACGGCCGTGTTCTATGCATGTCTGTATTCTATTCGGTCTTAGTACGTTAGTACGCTTAGTACGGCCATGTTCTATGTATGTTGGTATTTTTTTCGGTCTTGGTACGTTAGTACGCTCTAGTACGGCAATGTTCTCATGTACGTTGCTATTTTTTTCGGTCTTAGTACGTTAGTACGCTTAGTACGGCCGTGTTCTATGTAGGTTTGTATTTTTTTTGGTCGTGGTACGTTAGTACGCTTAGTACGGCAATGTTCTATGTATGTTGGTATTTTTTTCGGTCTTGGTACGTTAGTACGCTTAGTACGGCCATGTTCTATGCATGTTGGTATTTTATTCGGTCTTAGTACGCTTAGTACGACCGTGTTCTCATGTATGTTGGTATTTTTATTCGGTCTTGGTACGTTAGTACGCTTAGTACGGCCATGTTTTATGCATGTTGGTATTTTATTCGGTCTTAGTACGCTTAGTACAGCCAATTGTTCCATTTTATCGGCATGCATGCATGGCTTTCTTCAGCTTTACCACAGAGCACAGCATGTAACAAAGACAGCTGATATAACACTCAGTGACTAAGGGAATAAAACAGGCGCTCTTCATACCTAACCTTGTGGAGTAGTAAGTAAACACATCAGCATCCAGGATACACAAAATAAACTAACAAAGAACTTACTAAATTCTAAGTACACTTGTCCGGCGTACTAAGCAAAAAAAATTCAAAAGAGGTGCCTAGATTGGGCAGCATATGTCAGCCCAGGAGTATTAAAGAGACTTATGATAAAAGTTAATTTTCTTTGACTTACAGTGTGAATGAACCCTAAGCAAAAAATTTTAAAGAGCAATCACAACAAAATACCAGCCAACCAGCTTTCATTTCGATGGTCACAATGGATGATTTTGCTTGAGCACCTCAACACACAATACCAATATATAGGATTATATTGGTTGTTGCTTTTTGAATGAACAATAATAAGTAATGTCTAAGTTGGTGATCAAAAGCATTGCTTCTGATCTGCAGGACATAAACTTTATCAACCCCAGCTGTATGAGAATGTCATCTATTATGGCCAAATAACAGATCCTGAAAATACTGTAGGTTAACAACTTACGTAACATGCTCAGTGAACAATACATGTACATGTACATGTAGAGGTGAATTAAGGAAGAAAGATTTATCCATATTTTACCATGTCATCAAGTTCATCATCTTTGCTGTATCTTGCATAATCCTTTCTTAAAGTTCTCATAAGAATCATAGAGACAAGACCAACCAGAAAGATAACCATCATGAAAGAATTAAAGATAGAAAACCAGTGTATCTGAAAACAATAAAAAATAATGTCATATCAAACTTTTGCCTGCTTATACCTTTGATGACAATCGTACATGAGCAACATTATTATTGCAGCACCCCAAATTTTATACCAACATTTTATTCTTTACTTACTTTAAAGGACAACCTTGCCCGCTACATGTGCTTTGAATAACTGATGATAACCAAGAACATACTTGTATCACAGATCTTACCCTGTGTTGAAAGAAGCTTGGATCAAGATACTTGTCATATCTTCTTGCAAATTCCACTCTCATTTCTGTCCATTTAACCTGGAACAGAACAAAAGAGAATGTACAGGGTTATCCCATTTTGTCTCAACAAATTCATCACCAATCGTAGAAGTTTTTATAACAATTTATTACACATGATACCAATAAAAGAGGCTGTTTTACCTCATATGTGAAGCTGATTTTTGCATTTGGAGACAGCTTTGTTTTGGATTCACTTGTCAAGGTTACATCCACAATCTGATCACCATTGTAACCAATGTCAAGTTTCTTGTGAGTCCAAATGTAGTATTCGTCGTTACTTTCACCAATTTCCCCAACAATTCCTAGAAGAAATAGCAAAACAACAACATCAGAAAGAGATCAGCCTGCTCACATTGTACTAGCAAATGTGCTACAACATGATGTGCATTTGACACTCAATGCAACGCTCAAAAAAAAATAAACCAAGGGCCATATGCAAGGAACTTAAGTCAGATATACATGTAGAACTAAGCTAGCAACAAACATAATATTTTTGGCAATTACAATTGCTATTCTAATCTTAGACATTGCCATTTGTGTCTGATGGAAATTGTTTGGAACTACCAGCTTGTCCTTACAGCCTGCTTCTCTAGTTACAGACTGTATGTGCATACATGTACATGTACCAGATTTTTAAAGACAGCCTCTTTATTTGAAAAGGAATTCTTCTTGCTTGTGACAGTGTTTGTAATGTTTATTTAACAAAAAAAAACAACAAACAAATACACAAAGATGCTCAAGAAAACGAAAAACTTACCCCATATAGGCAAATCATCTGCAAATAAAAAAAAAGCGACAACAGTGAGAAAAGGTCATAAAAACTACAATAGTGTACAAACAACATGTAATTTTTGGATACTTAACAATAACAATATCATTTCACTCCAAAAGTTAGTAAATTTGTGATGATGTGGACAAAATCCTATGGTGAAGTCCTTGGCAAACACAGTATTTCAAGCACCAGTCTATCCAATCTTTTTAATTGTCACATGTCTATGTGTTTTTAGTGTGTTACTTTCTGTGTATTGATTTTCTTGGTATCTGTTCTTTTTTTCTTTTAAAACTCTGCTTAAAATAGCTTCATTATATGCTAAACCAGATGTTCCTGTTTAAATAAATTAAAGAAATGAATAAATAATGTGTCTCATTTCATTTGGTACATTTATGTACTTCAGGTAAATGATAAGAGGCACAGACGCTAACTTGATAACATACACATGTACTGAAGAAATTTAGAACTACTCATACCTATGTACATTTGATACCAATAATGATTCTTGACAGCATAAAGCAAGGCATCATGTTTATCCTGGTCAAGATCCAATGTGCAGTACCCAACAGGTGGAACATTGACTGAAAAGAAGAGTTTCTATTAGTGTGCTTTTTGAGACAACACCGGTTCAAAAGAAAACAGACACCAAGAACTCTTCCATAAGCTGACACCACTGGGACTAAAAAAAGTGTGTCTGTCTAGGAGAAGTGTCCGGTAAAAAGAGGTTTAAAATAAAAAAGCAGCGACTGTTTGTAGCAGGGGCCATAACAGAATCTGCTTACAAGTGGTGTATATTACAGGGCCGTAATTACGAGGCAGGGGCCAGGGATTTCTCCCCACTACTGCGAACGTGGCCTCCGACTACTTTCAAAGGAAAATAGAAGAAACTAGAACCAAATGAAACCCGTAGCTGTTCAACTCCCTGCCTATTTGTTGTATTTTCCCAGCGACTTAACATCTTAGTGACAACACCGTTATTAGCATAGGTACAACTGTGTGTATACCTTTAAAAGCAATGTCAATGCCACTGAAATCAAGTTCAACTCCTTGAATGGCTTCTCCAAGTGTTTCATGGTAATGGCCTATTTCCTTCTTTGTGCCCCTACAAAAAGGCAGTGAGTAGTATGTGTACGTTTCTTGTCTGTTGTGGTAAGGTCCTACAGTGTTCATCCATAGAACAACTTCTTCACCATCTTTATACTGCAATAAAGAAACAAAGTACATTCACAGACACCTTGGAGTGATGGAATTGTCTTTCCATTTACAAAGTACAGTGTATAATAATTTACATCAGAGATACACAACACGAATTATCTAATCGTGTATGAAAGGTTACAAAGATACTAAAATAACTATTTATTTATACACTGGATTAAAAAAGCATTGGCAAGTAAAAAGCTTAGCTGTACAAGACAGTGACCTCAAGCAATGAGAACATTGACATCTCCAATCTCCAACCAAACAAATTTAAGAATTAAGTCAATCTTTTTTTCCTCCAGTGCTCTGACTCAACACTGAATCCACCATGAAATTGAGTAATTTTACATTTTCAGTGGACAAAAATCTTGAACCAGAATAATTTATAATATATTGCATTCCTTTTTACATTTTTCAAGACCTAATCATTTTATTATTTATCTGTAATAACACTTAAGAAAATTTCTTATGGGAGCCCAAGAAAATGAATGTCAAATTTCACAAAATTACATCTTTCACGTCAAAATTTCCGAGTTTTACCTGTGTTTTCACAATTCTTGTGAAATTTGACATTCACTTTCTCAGACTCCCATGAGAAATTTTACTTGGTGTTATTACAGATGACTAATTACATCTTTAGGCCTTAAAAAATGTAAAAAGAATGCAATATTCTTTAAATTATTCTGGTACAAGGTTTTCATCCACTGAGAATTAAAATTACTCAATTTCCTGGTGGATTCCATCTTAAAACAAAAGTTTTCAAACTTGTTGTGTTAAGTAGAAATTTTTCCATCAAATGGACACCGTGGACATTCTTATTGCTTAAACGTGCTACATGTACATGTACATGTCCTTGAGATTCAATGGCTTTCTGTGATGTGTCCCATCAATAATAGACATTTTGCAAGGATGTGAAACAGGGAGGCATACACCCTAAGAAAGTGCCTTTACAAGCTGTAAAGCATCATTATTATCATTATTAAAATACTGCTTTGCTGGCAATGTTGTCAAGCTGAAAAACAAATCTGAGAAAATGATAATGTGCCAGCGTACAAAGAAAGTAGTGTCTGATAGCCCAGGGCTAGTGGATTTTGCTATTGGGCAAGTAAATTCTGTTATTAAGGTCTCGGTAAAGGAAAACGAGGTACCCACAGAAAAAAATTCTAGTCACGCGAGTATTTTCGCTACAAAGGCAAGTTATATATCAAATTAAAGCTAAAAGACTAAATTACCTTATAAAAGATTTTATTTCATCGAATTTCAAAAGGCACTTAAGTTTTTTGCTCTCGAACTCAGAGGTATCGAGTTTACTGCTGATGCTCCAGCCCTTTCGCGTTGTTAAATATTCACTTCCTTTTTATTGCCTCTGATTGACAGATAAAAGACCTAAAAAAGGGTGTGAGGAAATTTGCATATGTCTCGTATTAGCGGAATTATTGCATTTCAAACTTAAAAGTCGAATCTCGAGCGCGATTTACGCAAACAAACTGACATAACATGAGTTACAAAGGGAAATTGGAAAATTCCTCACACCTTTTTTGAGTCTATATCATTATCCATCATATCTGAAAGTTTCAAAGCGATAGCTTAAAACCTGTCCCGACTGGAGGTCGGAGAATTTTGATTTTTGCGTCTAAAATAGAGTGAGTGTCACGCAGTAGACAGGGGCTGTCAATCACTTTTCGCGCGCAACTTATGGCGGGAAACAGAAAAGACTCATTTTAGAAGGGTTAAAAAGCACTTTCTGATTTTCTTTTTCTGCCAAAATAAAATTTAGGACCCACTCATGCCAAAAATTAAAAAAAAAAAATTCGAGCAATGTACTAAAATTTTCATTTACCGAGACCTTAACTTGCCCGACCGGCAAGTGAAGTTTTTTGAGGGATTCAAATTACAGAAGAACTGTAAAATCAATCTGCTCATCAAAACGTTTTTGGGGCTAGTTGAAATGATGTCTGGGCTAGTAAATGTTAGCTTCAGCTTAACCTAGGTTGATTCTCAACTTCCTTGGTCTCCTAACCCTAACTCGGGAATAATTTGGGCTAGGGGACGAAGGAAATCAAGAATCAACCACACACTGACATACTTAAACTTAAAATTGTGAATTGTAAATAACATTTTCTTTCCTTGCATTTAATGTATATATATATTTTCTACATAGTTTTTATGTAGTGTCAGCTCGAAGATATTAGCTTGTTAGCTACTCTAAAACTCGAGTATAAATAAAGTTTTATGTTATGTTATGTTAAGAATAGAACACAGCTTTATTGTTTTAGAAAGTCCCAAGTAATCCTAGGTATTAAAATGTGTCAATTATTGTTTCAGAGTTATTAGTTGGTGACGAGTCGACTTCTTCGTGGCAATTTCATTGGTGGTGAGATGACTGTAAACGAGCTCCACAGTATTGCAAACCCAAACAGGGCATCAGTGAAGCACTCTGCATAACTATTTTCCACTCTCTTTGTTCGCAAAATTGTTTGAAACAACCTTGCATGTATCGTTAAATAATTACCAGTGTTAAAGCGGTGCAATACATTAAGCCAAAAAGAATTCAACAAACAGTAAAAGAAAAGATCAAGCCAATAATTATCTTCTAGACCGACCGTAAACAAAAGTACATATTCATAAAATTAAATGGATGTAATTCTGTGTTACCGTTAAATCACCTACAAAATTGTTTCATTAGTTTGAAGAAATAAAACAATGGATAAAATGTTAACCTACTAGTTCAATAAACATAAGGTCGGTCTGCTACAGTACTGCAGAGATCGAATGAGATACAAGCTACGCTTGGTATGTGCTGATGTGTCAATTAACTAGAGCTTCAATTCATTCAAAAAGATTTTCGATTTGATGTCAAATACATTTTACATACACTGTATAAGGGCATAGTTTAATAGAAAAATACTAACTTCTTGATCTAAACGTCTGTGCCTGAATGACACGGAAATTTACAAAAATAGTAACAGTAAAATGGCTGAGAGAATCTTTCGTATTATTGACCTACTTTATGCGTGTGTTCGTCTCCTGTGATCGATTCCAGACATAGAATAACCAGCAGAAATAAAGCACAATTAACTCCAGATGCCATATTTGCAAGAAGCAGCTACATAAAGAACAAGATGGTCTCTTGTTTATTGGATTCTAAATACTATCTCTACCGACTTTTGGTAATGGCGGATCCAGAAATACAGCGGCTGCAAACCGGAGGACTGGGCTCCAAACGCCACGTCAAAGGAATACAGGGGCAGAGAATTCTGGGTACCAAAAGCGTCACTGATGGAAATGATTGCAAGACAAGTAAGACGCTAAGCATTACTAACTCTACCGGTAATCTTGCTAAAACCTTATCCAGTCACTTCTTCGGGAATGAAATCGCGTATATTAAATGAACCTGCAGGAAAGTCAAGTTTTGGCCGTGCACGGAACTATACTGTCGTCCAGTAACACGAGGAAGCGTTCAAGCACATGCCACGAATTACCGACAATACCCCCATTTATCGTAGAAGTCAGGCTGACCTCTTTTATTCGATCGGCCAATCTCAAAGAGGCAGGGTAAACTTAAAACAAATTTGAGTAAAAGAGAAACAGACTTCAGAAAGCGCCATATGACACACCAACGTAGAATTCCTTTCTTACATGCTCTTATTTTTTTGGCGCCTTCCCCGTCACGCGAATCTAGCGCTCCACGCTTGCCTTCGCTCACCTGAAAAACGTGAAAACATAACACCTGTTATGCAGGCTAGCTTCTCCAAGGATTGTCAGCAATTTGCGCTGGCTTTCTCGCAAAATCCGTGGAAAAGATAAACATGCAATTCTACATGCTGCGATCGCGACGACCTGAAGCTGTTTTTTTATAGTGAAATGTTTTCAATCTCAAACGTCCCCTATTTGCAGGACAGGTTTTCAACATGGGTTCACATAGTTCTCCCTTAGCCAAGCCACGAGGGATTAAGGCGACAAAAATCGTGTTTTGCTAACTTGCGTAGCTGGCAGTTTGTTTAGCGAGAGGGAAAAACGAGCGGGGAAGCTGCGAGAAAAAGAAAACCTTTCTCGTTGCTCTCACGCGCGTGGACAACCAATAATTCCACTTCGCAGGCTACAAATTTCCTTCCTTTCCAAAGGCCCCCAGCCTTGCCCCCCCCACCCCACCCCAGTAAGGTGTTTTGGCATCATCGTCTCGCGACATCACAAAAATGTAGACTAGTTGACAATAGCCTGCGAGCAAGCTCTTCATGCCGGACTCTACGGCTTCCTCGCATGAGAACGCAATAAACTTGACTGGCAACTCGTTTATTCCGTTCAGAGACTCAGTACTATTATCTGCTGATAAACACCAAAAATACAAAACAGTCGCGAAGGTTGTCAAAGTCGGAGAAACATTAGGCGCTGTTTCGTGACGGTTGTCGAAAGCTATTTACTATCTCCCCTTACGACGAAAGAATCACTCATTATTGTCAGTGGTCTTTTTATTATGCTAGCTTCTGCTGAAAAAGAAACTCAAGGGTCCAACTAGTAAAACCAGATCCGTGTTTTTTCTTTTCTTGCATCGCTCATATGCAGTTTGTTTCTTAGCGTCCCATGAAACGCGCATGTCTGTTACAAGAGATGCTAATTCAAAGAAAGACGGGATTTTTTTGTCCAGCGACAAACATTTGTTTCTCCGATTATTAAGACAATATTCCAATGAGAACCATGACGGTAATGGTTCCTTCTCTGGTTGCAAGATCTCAGTGATCTCAGCCCAAGGTTGTCAACTCGCATTAGATGTTCTCTGTTGTTTTGTGTCCTTTTGGGTAGTACGACGCATTCTTGCACAAGTCAAGAATATCGGAACAAGCCAGGCCTGCAGATGTCTTATTCGTCGTCCATATCATCGTTATCAGCCTCATCACTTCCATCGCTCTCATTTCCTTCCATTTCCGTACGTTCACTTTGTGGTTTTTCATCGGTGCTTCTTGCACCTGTTCCTTCCAACGCATTGTGACCTCTTTTCTTGGCGGATTTTTTCTTCTTTGTCCTGTGTTTTTTCTTCTTGGGTTCATCACCTGTTCATTCAATGATATAAAAAACAAAAGTAAACAAAAAAAATCATAAATCAAGCAAACCCCTTTTCTCCTCAGAGCGTCCTCAGTAAGAATTCAGCTTGTACGGGATTCAATCCTTTACTACTACTATCGTACATGCGTAACTTTTTTAAAAACATTTTACGATTGCTGAAAGACACAGGACACCAACACAAACTCCGTGATCTTTCGTGAGGGATGAAATTTAGAAAAATGTCCGGGAATTCCGAAAACAGCAAAGCTTGGTGATTTGAAAGGTTTTACGTAGGACGACGGTTAACTTGAGCGTTATTCGCAGCTCTGCTGATGCAAGTAAAAAGTTTTGCAAAGGAATCAAAATACCTGAAGTGCTGACGGTTCGTTTGTCTTCCTTTCCTTTGCCCTTTTTCTTTTTCTCCTTTAAATGTTGCTCGGATTTTACAGCCAATTCATTATCGATTGCTTCAACCTTTGAGGAGAATGTTTTTCTGCCAACAACAGTGAGGCAAGTCGGTCTACCCGGCACATCGAATCTCGCTACAAGCTTGGCCTCTTCTGCAAACTGTAGAACACAATGACACGAAGGTTATACGTCATGATGGTACAATGGACGCTTGACATTCTCCTTTGAAATAAAGGCTCTGCCAGGTACATGTCCAGGAACTTAAAGGGACTGTGTGACAAAATCTTTCAAAATTCAAACAGTGAGAATTGACAGCAGATAAAGTGAAACAAAAACTGGAACCGCTAAAAGCCATAAAAGAAGGTATAAATAACAGAGCAAATGCAAAATAAGCACGGATGGACAAACTTGGAGAAGATTGAAACTGATTATAGTAGGGGTTTTAGAAAACTTGTTAAGCTAACAGTTTTCCAAAGTTCATTTTTGTTGTTTATAACGTCTGTTATAATGCGGAGACAATTTGCCATTGAAAGTAATTTTTTGCTAACTTTAAGTTTCCTAGCGAAAAAAGGCGCATATTATAAAATAATAGTGCCAAATTTGAGGACTCGCGCGACACTTCTCGGTACATAAAATACTTAGCACATCCCTGTATATCTTCTGCCGATGTTAATAAGCTACCTATTACTATAGAAAGCTGAAACTAGCAGTCCTCCAGAACACATAAAGATACGTCCGCCACCATGTATGTTGACCAAATGCCGGAGTTTCGACTAGTACGCAGAAGAAACGAAAAAGACATACCAAGGCGATGATAGAACACGCAAGAATTAAAGTCTACATCTACATCTACAGCTATACTTGCCAAAGGCTGCCCATCGCGCCAACAAAACTTAACTGTCATTGAATACAATAAATCGCCTTACAATGGCTAGAATGTAGAGGTTGGGCAAGGAAAATTAAACAGAGTTATTTAACAAAATTTTCGCCACACCTCGTTAAAAGATCGATATCCGTATCTTGGCAAACAATATGGCGGCTCACCGGCCTATTTGTGTATCATTGCAGCTCTCTCCTGTGAGAAGAGCACCCCCCATTGGATGAAAACTCATTACCAGAACTAACAAGTATCATGTTGTATCCACCGGATATATATCGCTATCCAGCGGATAAGTAATAGAAGACCAATTGCATTATCCACTGGTTAGAGATTTATCCGGTGGATAGCGCTATCCATCTTTTGAACAACCGAGGCCTGGAGCCTGGGAGATATCGTGAGATACCACGCGCGAGAGGCACGCGAGATGAGACGCGATATCGCGTCTTCTTCACTCGCTCGCGTTCCCGCTCGATATGGAGAGGCCGACCTGGCAGCTCTCGGAAGACATAACGGGTTTGATTGGGAAAAAAATGAACAAACAAAGACGACAATGGAACCTAGCCCGAAAACAAAAGCGCTGCAACCCATATGGGTCCCGCAAGGCTACTGTATGAAGAGCTTGCTCGCAGGTTAAGTTTACTATAGATGCAATTTCTTCTTACATTTTCAGGATTAAAAGCCCATCCTCTTAAATCTCCATCAGAAGACACTGAAAACATCAACAAGCGCCTGTCTTCTTCCTTCAGCAAGTCATCTGTCATACAGAGGCCTTTCACTCTAAAAGGGAGAAGTAAAAACGAAAATTATTCTCAATTATCACATGCAAAAACCAAACAGCGCTGCAAACAGCTTAAATTTTAATCGTGCTAAAAAATGGTTCATTTTTCTTACTGACCAGCTGACTGACTCACAGAAATTTTCACCCCTTTATTCGATCGACTGACGGCTTAATCGAAGGTCAAAGAAAAGAAATTGCCAACTCCTGTTTCATTTACTTTTTCACTTTTCCTAAAGGATTAAACAGGTTTATCCACCGAAAGACCTAGTAAAAACCTTTCACAATATATGTACTGTAAATGATTATGCGAGTATTTTCCCACGTATTGTTTACATTTTTGCTCATTAGCACACGATTTGATATCGTCGCTGTATAGATTAAAAAAGGTAAATAGCTGCTTAACTTGAACCATTCGTGCAATATTCAGGTCTTTCCACGCAATACCTAAGGAAATAAAAGCGATAAAAAACTGCGAAAAAAACTGTGTAGTAAAAAAGTGAATGAGCCATACATTATTTTAAAAATTTTTAATTCTTGAAGAGATTCTCTCCGAAACAATTAGGTGCTCGGGCTCAAATTTTAAGATACTCCGTCTAAACTCCTAAACAAGCAGCGATTTTACTTTAATGGCTTTATCAGAGAATGGAGGCATAAAATGTAAACAAAGTTTCACTACACCACAGCTTCACTAGGTTACAAATTCAACAGCCCAGATTAAACAAAAACATGCAACGACCAAGTTGGGTAATTTTGAAAGGCACGCAAAACGCAAGGGGATTTGGAATAGGGCGTGGTTTGGTGTTGTTACAGTGTAGGGGGTTTAAACTGTAGAGTAGGTTAACAATACTTTGTTGAACACGGACCAAAGAAGTGTATGGTTGAGTGGTGTGTCCAAAATGGGTAAACATGGATGAAGTGCTGAAAGTTGAGCGGCATATGGTCCCGTGGTATTACTACTGCACAGGTTCACTATAGGGAATAGGTAAACAATAATTCAGTTGAATTTGGTGTTGAATGTGGCCTAGGTTAAGGATACATAGCTTCACTGCAGGGAATAAGTAAACGATGCCTCATTGGATATGGACGAAGTCCTGAAGGGTGAGAAGTATTCACCTACTTCAATAAAGGTTGTTTTGGGAATAGTGCTTTGGTCATTGAAAGCCATTGTTTGGTGGTCACTCAAGCAAAGCATTGCATTGTATTCTGTGTTTCAATGACCAAATCCCAAAGCAACCTTTTTTGAATTAGGTGTATGGTCTGGTGGTGTTACAGACGCACAGTTTCACTATATGGAATGGGTATTGAATATGAATATGATTGAAGCAATGAAAGGTGAGACGTGTATTGTTCGGTGGTTCTACGGATCCGCCCAACCATCCGGGTGGTGCCGCCAATTTATAGCGCAAGAACAATGGAAAAGGTGTCCGCCAATGAGAAAAGGTATGACATCATCGCTAAAACAGTCAAACAGGTTTTACCTGTCGCCTGATAAAACAGTCAAACAGGTGAGACAAGTTGGCGAGTAACCGCTATGTGGTTGACGTTATGATGCGAACATAAAATCAAGAGGAAAATTCTTGTAACCGCGTAAGCTATTTTTTCGTTACTGGCGACGAATGTTACTTCAGTTTTTCTGCCTACGCGTGAAGACATGGAAAATAAACACCGAATCTAAACTGGAAACTAAACTGACACATGGACGCAAAACTGATACTGACTCTTAGCTTCTAAACAAACCAATGCGTCATCGAAAAACAAAAGTTGATTTGCTATACACTCATTTTTTTATGCTAATACTGTTTCTTCAAAGGAATTACATACCGACTGTAAACCAGGGTGTAAAACTGCTAAGAGACAAATAAGAACGCTAAAAGACACCACTTGAACGTACGCTATTACATTCAAACTTTTAAATCATGTTTAGCAAGAACTCACTAAATTTGATTTTCATTGTGTTTTTAGGTTAAAAAAAGCATTGAAAACGAAACAAAAAACTTGAGCAGCTTTTGTTTGAGGTAAACAATCAAAGCGCAAATTGCTGTCGCAAGATTCGCTACAAAAGATACTGAAGGAACTTTTGCAAGAAACAAAACATAAAAACACACCACAGTATGACTTTACCAACGAAGAGAAACCCAGCGAACGTTTTGATGACTGTCGAGTGCAAATTGTGTCGCGAGCTTCGCTACAAAGGATACTTCCGAGACTTTTGTAAGAAACAAAAAAGCACGCCACAGTATGACTTTACCAGCGAAGAGAAACCCGGCAAATGTTGGGTGCGAGTTTCATCGATTCGTGAGTTGACGCAACTTGCGCGTCATTTGAAGACCGATTTGATTTTTATTTCGATTATTCGATCCTTTGCAAGTAAGAACTAATATCAGCTCACACATAACGCAACCAGTGAAATGTTTCTTCCAATATGTTATGATGTGTCTATTCGGTCAACTGCACATCATTCAGGGAAAAGTCTATACTTACTTACGTCTTCCTTAAAGTGGCTATGTCATCAGTCAAGGGCTGCGGTCTAGTTTACTGTGTTTCTAATGCAAATTACAACTCCTTTTCGCCATAGAGCTTAAGAAAGTATTACTGTGAACGACAAAATCACAGCTTCTTGTCCAACAAATATGTCTCGCAAGCATTATTTAAAACGTTACACACAAAAAAATGAACTTTGAAAAACTGTTAGGCCAAGAATTTTTACAGGTTTGTCCATTCGTGCCTCTTTATGTGTTTGCCGTGTTATTTACACTTTTTTTACCGTTTCAAGCTGTTATTTTTATGTTTCACATGGTCTGAAATGTCATCCGTCTCTTCGCCTCACCACCCCCCCTCCCCCTTTCCAACGGGGGAGGCTGAACGAGAGAGACTCGCCCGGCGAGAGGTTTGATTGTTCACCTGCTTGCATGTCCTTGCAATGTCTGAACACACTGCTCCTTTTCAATGTCTAAAATTCTTATTCCTTCAAATTCTCCTCCTGTTGCCAGGATATTTTCCTAGGATAACAAAATAATCATTTGAGATTAGTAATCATGATTGAAACTGAAAGCAAGTGACAAACTATCGTATAACGACTTTCAATGAAAATGACGTACATGTACGTATAGAAAGTATTTTAATCCTTTAAGTTCCGGTATCTACATGCAAATTTTACAGACTGATCTCCATACGTGCCCTTTAAGAATTAGTTGAGAGAATTTGATATAAGATTATCCCCTGCCTAGGGTCATCTTTTCATCCATTCTCATAACCTTTCGTCTTGATTACCGTGTGGCACAAAATTTTAGCTGGGTACTTTCTGAAAATCGCAAAAATTTATTCCCAGCAAGAAAAACCAATTTGTCTTAAACGCAAAAATTAGTTCCCGCAAAGCACAAACAATCGCCAATCCGCGAAAATAAACTCCCGCAAAAATTTCGTGCCGCACGGTATGAACTGATATTGTTTGGAAAAAATTGATGTTGGTCACTCTTGAGAGGGTTTAGTAAGCAGAGAAGCAGCTTAGAGTTAATGTGCCGTACCCAATACTCCAAACATCCCGTTCACTTTTTTTCCATACTACTGACACGATACACTGTATTTGTTGATACGAGTCTCCCTGATCTTTGAAAGACCTTTACGATAATTTGAATTCACTGACACAATGATATGTAGCAGGATAGCGGTATATTATCACTACAGTCAACTCTTCCTCTAAGATGGACATCTTTGGTACTAGCACAATGAGTCCGACTTAACAAATGTCCAAAACAATTTTCCCAACTGGTCCCTGTGTCCGTCTTATAGAGGTGGCCGTTAAAAGCAATATAGAAAGGCAGGGACTTACTCTGGGTGACCGTCTTAGCAAGGCAGGGTTGGATCTAGTGGGAGGGTACAGAGGGTGCACACCTCCACCACCCCCCCACCCCGAATGACCTACAACTGGTATTCTGTTTTAAACTTTGTGTACCTCACCAGTCAGTTACACCATTCCTTAATGGTGCCCCCCTCCTGAGAAAAATCCTGGATCCGCCCCTGTGGGCTGTCTGTTAAAAGAAGAGTTGACTGCAGTCTGTTATCATGACGCTCATAGAGCTTGGCAGCTAGAGACAAGAGTATTCAACTGAACTGATATCTTGGAGTCACGGGTTTAACTGCCACTGAGGGGCTCAAAACATTTCTCCTTAACAAATCAAAAACAATTTTCCATGGTCTGTACTCTTATTGACCATACCTCTCGAACAATCAATGCGAGAGAAATAGCTTAGTCATTGTAAATTTACTATGTATATACAGTGTATAACAACTTGAGAATGCTTGCTTTCCAATCTTGAACGCAAGCATGTGTAACAGATGTGTACATTTTTAGAAGGATGCTACAGTTGCAGTACTTACTGAAAGGAATTCTAGGGCTAACACATATCTTGAGAACTCCATTGTAAATGACAAGGCAGCTGTCTAGGACAAATCAAACATTCCCCGTATTAAATCATGTTTATTCCCTCAAGTCAACCTTAAGCTTAAGTTCTTCGTAAGTGTCAGCCATCTTCATCTGCAAACCTCTAAGGTTTGCCAAAGAGGACTGGATAGGGAGATAGATGAAACATTTGTAGCTGGTTTGAATTTTCTGAAGCCCTCAGAAACTGTTAAAAACTCGAAAACTAATATATTATTTTGTATAAGAAATCATTGAAGTTAAAGTATTGAAAAACACTTTCAAGGTAATGTTTTTGAAAGCTTTTGAAAGTTCCCAGACATGTCCAGGTGGTAAAGGCTATAGCAGTAATTAATGCAAGAAAATGAATTTTAAAAATTCCTGGACCACGAAAGGTTTCTATGAACTGAAGCTCCATAAAAGTGTGAAGAGCTTGCTTGTGTTCTTAGTTCACTTCACTTAATTACAAAAACCCAATGACACTTTTTTAAGTTTTGAGTGTGTGGGCAAAATCCACTTGTGAAAATTCACATGAAGCTCTTAGGGTGCTTTCCATTTGTCTGACCTCAGTCCTGACTGGCCAACCCATTCCCGTCATCATGAGAATTTCACCTTTAATCAAAATTATCCAGCCAGATCAGTCAAATACTTAATAGTACATGGGAAGGAGATGATTTTTGAGCAAAAACTAGTTCAGCCATGGTCCAGCCAGCCAGTTATAACTTTTGGAAAGTGCCCCTGGGCAGGATTTATCATGGTAATCTTTGCTACTGATAATTTAACAAGATGAAAGTTGATTGGAAATACTCTACACTCTTTTTAATACTTACTGCAAGTTTATAAACTACGACTTTGTCGCCGATGGCGACAGCATAACTATCACCTGATGGAGACCACTTGACAATCAGGGCAGCTAAACACACACGAACAAGAGTCAGGATTAGCAAGATTCACAAGGCCAAAGTCTTCTGCCTATTTTATATGCCCTCCTTGTTAAAGGCACTAGCAACAATCAGAGAAGACTTGCAAACATAATGACCTGACCTCATGACAATGGTTGTAAAGAGAGCCACAAGCTCCTAGGATGTGATTAGGGCACCCCTGCATATCACTGATGAGAGAGACAGCTGGCCAACACTGTCGTGAGTTTAACTTAGCCTAAATTTCACTAAGCCACATTTAAAAAAATATAATGTTTCTTCACATCAATTGAATTCTTAAAATAATGGTCCAGTTTTGCTATTTAAGACTACATGTATATTAAGGCAATGAAATTGTTTCCTCTCATTTATTGCAACAGATGACAAGGATGGACATGGACTGACACTTGAAAAAGTTGGACAAACATTTTCAAGTTGTTATGCCATACCTGCCAAAATGACCGAAAAAAAAATAATAGTTTATAGTGTAATGTTCCCTGACGAAATTTGTTTGATAACTTCGCCACAACTCTACAGGAGCATTTTTTGTATGGGTAAAGGTACTGAGTAATGACTTCAGCACATAATTGACCTATAAACAACAATACTCTTGTGACATACATGTAACCCATTTGAGTAATATTATTATTATAAGACCATCAGTTTTGAACAAATGTTTCATGAACCAAATTGTTGCAGATAAAAGTGAAGCTTTGTTGCATTAACAAGGTTTGTTGGGGTGCAAGAACTGCTGTGTACCTGGCATTAATTTTTTCAAACTAAAACTTGGAATATACTCTTACCTTCTTTGATGTTTGTAACATATGCAGATTTGCCAGTAACAAGATTCCATGTTCTGTGAAAGCAAACAGAATAATTAAAGAGTTCCCAAGAAAAGATTATTTATTGAGTACTGCACACCTTTCAAAAGCTGAAAAAAAAAGGAGCAAAAAAAAAAAACTTAAAAGAACAGAACCGGAAAAAAACTGCCACTCCTTTCAGCAAACAACTTCAGGAGTGCTTAACTGCCAGACAATTAATGTTATTGCAGTGTGAACAACCAAAAAAAGTGGTCAAAGCACATGCAAAGATGAAATGAAATAAAACATTCATCAGCGATTCTATAGAGTTAGATTCCAATAGGCCACTTGAGGAGACTAACCTTAAAGTCTTGTCCTTTGATACAGACAATGCAAGTCGCCCCGAGGGATGCACAGACACTGAATTAACATGGCCCCTGGATACAGAACAAATGCATATAATTTAATATCAGGAACTGTTCACACTTGGTGTCTGAGCACTAGTGTGATAGTGCTGTGAAGTCTGATATATAACCGTGTACATTTTTGCTCCATTTTGCCCTGTCAGACACCATTTTGAAACGTGAGCACCGCAGGAAGATGGGGGCAATGGATGATTGCCTTGGAAACAGGCTTTTAGCCAGACATTGAAAACTGGCTGTGCAGAGGGCATGTTTCCCCCTAAAATTATAAGAGATTAAGTCAATCTTCCTCGTATTTCTTCCAAAAATGGGTGTCCATAGGATGGCTAGACACCCATTCCGCTAAAACCTTGCTTGGAATAACCGGAAATGTGTGTGCACAGGCAGCCAGTGCCCACTTTAGGACCTGAATACAAGAGGTCTTTACCTTCAAGCACTAACCCTGTACCCAAGTTTGGCACGGGTACTTGAAAAACATTGTGTGTCAAATTAGTGCCCAGCTAGAACTATGCTCAGGCACTGTGCCCAGGCAGCAACTGAGAACTCTACCTGAGTTACAAAGAAAGGGAAGGAGTCATGCCAATATAAACAGAATTACCTATATGTATGCTTACAGTACCTCACTGTATTCACAAAAAATTATGTTCAAGTTACCTACATGTACTTTTCGAGTTTAAAAATTCATGTACGGACACAGTTCAGGGCTGAGATGTCATAGCATTTTACGTCATTCCTCCTTTTAAAGAAAATTACATAACTACACCCTTGTAACCTGCCATGCATGCCTGTGAACACAAGAATTCTGTATTCTTCTGCATTATTTTCCCAACGCTGTATACATTGTAAGCCACAAAATAATGATCAGCATCAAATTTCTCCCAGTCAATCCAATACTTAATCAATCAGACAGGTCATCAATTGAGAACAAGACAAGACAAGGTGAACTGTACTGACATCTTAATTGACAACTAATGATGCTTACATAAATCTACGTGGTTAATGGAAAAGAAAGATCAGCTTTAATTGAAATTATCACCAGTCTAAGACAACAATAATCTCTACAGCAAAGATGATCACATTACCTGTGGCCTTTTAAAGTTTTGAGGCAGTCCCATGTACGACACTCCCAAACACAAATGGTATTATCCTCGCTAGCACTTACCATGTGTGTATTGTTATGGAATGTCAAACATGTTATTGAGCCTGAAAAATAAACAAGAGAAGAGAAGAGATGTGTGTGTCATAAAAAATCAAATTAATTTTTGGTAAAATTATGGGACGGGTTGGCGTATTCAGAGAGAACAAGGTTATAAAATTAATGTCCACTTGCTAAAAATCAGCTTGTTAAAGCCAATTGGTGAGGAGATATACGCAGGTTATGCCCTGATAACTCTATACATATGTCCTTGACTTGGATCGTAACGTTTTCTAACCAGGTCTTTTTCAGAAGGATTTATGTATGGAGTCATCAAAGCAGAACGATTCTTTTGCATCTCCTCACCAGTTTGCACAAACAGGCTGATTTTTAGCCAGTGGACATTTAGACTGCAAAACAGTCCGTATTTTTGCGTATTCAAGTACGCGCGAGCAGTCAAACAAAAGGTCTGGAATGAGGCTGAAAACAGAGAGCGAGACTGGGGAGAGACGCTAAAAATACGGACTGTCCGTTTTGCATACGTCATATTCGTTCGAATTACCCGCTTCTCCCAGCCACGGGCAATTCCCATTGGCTAAATTTCGATGCAAGCTGTCACCAAGCTGTCAAGTAATGTTTTCAACAAGTCATTCACGTTGTTCCATACCGTGACGAATTGCTAAAGCTTTCGCTGTAAAATGACAGATGTTGATCGCCTGGATTTGCTCGCAAGAATTGGGATTTGTTTTAAAATCGGAGTAGAGGGAAGCTTTGGAGTTGCTGCTCAGGGGAAAGGATGTTTTCTGTGTTCTACCACCAGGATTTGACAAAAGCCTTATTTATCGGATGTTTGTTCATGCAAAGAGTTCTTCAAGTTCCGTGCAACGGCCGACCATCATTGTTAGCTCGCCTGGCTAAAAATGCGGGATCGGTAGGAAACACACGACTTTTACCTCATGCAAACATGCCGCTTGTTCCAATGAATTGTTTTCTCTGTCGAGTAGATTATGCTTTGGAGGAAAACGTTTTGACTGAGCAAATGTGAATTTTGGCCTCTTATTAAATATTTCATACTGAGAGGTCGTGACACGCATATTGATTTTCTCTGGTAGGCATGATTTGCCCTCTGACACAAGAGCATTTTCTTTCTTGGCCCCTTTAGAAATGTAAAGCTCTTCATTGTGGCTGATTAAGGGTTTTAGGTTGTTTTATTTCTCCAAAGTGCCTCCTGGATTTGAATAATTTTAAGCGATTTTCTTTGTGTCCGTGAATGTGACTTTTTCCTGCAATGTTTTGTCACGCTGGGCCCAGCTCGTTAGCGTTTTTGGCAGGTTTTTAAATTCTCACAGATAGTAATTTACAGAGCTAAATCACCAAGACGTGGTTTGGAATGAGGGGATTTACTCATACTTTTCAATCGCAATAATTGTTCATTGTCAGTTGGCGTGTTCAGTTCTTTTCATTTGCGAAAGCATCGCCGTGCAGTTTCCCGGGGCAATTTCTAACCGTTGTTCCACACGGAGAGCAGACTGCTCTTGTGGAGAAAGATTCTCCTTCCTCGAGGACAACGAAAAGTTCGTTTTTCAGTAGGTCGGCCCACTTTAACGTTTCTCCTTTTCTGGTAGGCGCAACAAACGCATTTTCCGAGCTTATCCATCCATTCGTAAAATTGCCGAACTGTGTTTTGAAACAACAGCCGCACATTCTACAATTTGTCCAAAGCCCTCGGCTCTTTCGGCTTTCTCCCTCTGCGAGGAGCAGGCACTGGCTTTGTTGTCGTACTGCCACTTTCACTCATTTTTGATCCTCCACTATATATACTACATTTCACTATATACACCACATTTCACAGGGAAGCAACGCTAAAAACTGCTTTAGAATTACTGGATTACAGCGTCAATAATAACACGCGAGTCTATCAAATTCACAAAGAGGGCGGAGTTGCGAACAGATTTTTGACAGCTCGACGACATTTTTTAACCCCCTGGTCGGAACGATCTTATTGTATGGAAAAGGGACAGTCGGTTTTTTTCTCTCTCGCCTCACACGCCCTACGGGCGTGTGAGGCCCGCGCGCTTCGCGCGCGTAAGACTCTTACTCCACGCTTTACCAATTTCTTTACTGATTTTGAAAAAAAAACCGACTGTTTTGCAGTCTAGTGGACATTTTGGATCTTGTTCTCCCTGAATATGCCAACCACATATTATACGTTTCTGGGAAACTGCCCACCTACCCCTCCCCTAATCCAACATTTTGCCCTAAGTGAGAAGTAAGTGTTAATGTTGGCTTATGGGAGGAGTTTTAGGTGGGCAGTTTCCGCGAAACATATAAATGACCGTGCCAACCAATCCCATATAATTTTTCACAAATTTAATCTTTGTAATGTCATGTCTCTTCTGTACACATTGTTTCAACCAAATTACACTGTACAAACAAAACTTCTCAGGAGGAATCGCACTTCACTAACTACCATTTTAAAAAGTTGTTTTCTTGAATAAGGCCTGTTTTTGATAGAATGTTGCAATCTGTAGTTTGAGGAGTTTAAGATTTGACTGAAAGACAAACACGTAATGTTACAGTATCTACCAATATCTCCCCTACATGAGATCATCACCTGTAGCTACCATAATGTTTAGAAGGGAGTTAGCTGATCCTTAAGAGAAGATTATTGTTTGTGCATATTCACAGACTTGTCGACCCACAAAAGGCAAATATATCTGTAAGATTGTGAACTAAGCGCTCAGACAAGTAGTGAGAATGGGTAAAAAGTCGCTAGATGTCCCAAATTTTGAGGTGGAAAGATTTTCAAGGGGACTATGAGCCATTACGGGTATTAGAAGCTGGAGCAGTAAACATCACGATATTTCAGTTTAGGTTTTGTACTTGTAATTTCTATGTTTTGTTGGAGGCTATCTTAACTGAAACAAGAGAAACAGTAAGTCTACACATTTGGTTGCAGTGGCAAGTCGCTGTAGGCGAAAAGAATGTACATGTTATCAAACTCGACTGCTAAGCATATAATTATTCTTTGGATTGAGCTTGCTATCTATTGATATCTATTAAACTGGAAATGGGCCAGACAGCTCCAAGATTTTTTTGGAGACAAGCATGAGAAATCAGTTGCTAACTCAGAGCATGAGATTGGTCGTGAAATCGTGAGACTGACAACAAATTAGTGAGAGTTGGCAAGTCTGTATTCATAAATACCTTCATGCTGCATCAGGGCACCCAGTTCTCTGTGATCCTTTAGATTGTATAACCTAAAAATTATTAACCATTAATCCTAAGTCAGGTGATGACAACTTCTTGTGAATGCCTCCCAGTAGAAAGAAAGTGGTGTCACATTGAAATGGTTTGATATGTTTCCTGCATGCTTTTTTCCCCAAATGGTTTTTATTGGACAACATTGCCAGCACTTTGAAATGCAACAAGAAATGTTTTTTTAATTCATTCCATTATTTCAAAATGCATTTGGAATAAAAACCAGCTCAACACAGTTTCCACTAAGCTGGTTGTCCCAAATACTGTAAGGTCATAGATTGATAACACTTAAGGACAAAATTACTATGCCAATTAAAGACGTACTTAAGTCATAGATGCAGCTGTGTCAAGTACCTACATTTGTATAAACACAGGTTAAGACCTAATGAAAGAAACAATTACATTTTCAAGCATACAAAAACTCTCTTTTAAATCTTTTCTCTTAGTTCTCCCAGAATAATTTCTTACAGCTAGTGCAAGAACTATAGCTAGTAAAGAATTCCCTGGACGTACCACTAATTGGAGCTAAGAGTTGCCCAGTAAATAGGATCATAAAAATGAAGTTACTGAAAGCAGTGTTCAATCTAGAAATTAGTCAAAGTGGGTCATATATCCCACTTTGAAAAAAAAATTGGGTCATTTCAAAAATGGTCTGGGACAAACTTTGAATAACTATCATCCAAACTATCACCATGGTATAATAAAGTTTTTATGCTTGAAACTGTTGGCTCTTGAAGTTCTGGAGGTTGAACTGACTTCTCCAGCCTTACCATTCTTATCCATTGATGCAAATACGCGGCCTAGATTGAACACTGTGAAAAATTTAAAAGATACAGCCAATGCAGTCTTTATGGAAGGTGCCATGAATTTTGTGATGACTATAGAGTAACTGAGACCAAAAAGGGTGCAAGATTACATGCAAAAAGTATGGTAAGTAATTTAGGTCCCAAGGGTGATCATCATCAATTTTCTCCTAACAACATTAGCAGATCATGAAGAGTAAAAGTTATGAGAATTACTAAATTGATTACCTAAGGAGAGAATGCTTTGATCTTAGACCAAATTCTCTCAACTGTTCTTAAAAGAAATGTAAGGAGATCAGTCAGGAGAATTTGGATGTGGATCTTAGGGCTTAAAGGGTTAAGAGTATTTTGAGAAAAGTCAAACATAAAATTATGACCATTTTAAATAGATAAATGAAGATAGTTAATGAGTGCGCTGATTAGATCTTATTGTAGTTGATTTCACCAATTACTACAAGAATATCTTGCAGCAAGTGCAAAAACTATCTGCTAGAACTTCCTGCAAGCAACAGGAGAAAGTCAAACATAAGGTATCTTCTTAACAATAATGAGCATGTACATCATTTCTCCAGTTACTACAAGAATTCCTGGCGGGGAGTGCAAAAACTACCCGCGGGAAATTCCTGCAAGTAACTTGAGCAGCTTCAGTATAAGTAAATGTAAATTACACTGCAACAAAAACATGTCTGAGATTTACACACCTTCTAACAAAGATGTACATTCTAACAAATAATGCAGAATATGAGAGCAATGTCACATATAATATTATTGTCAAGTAACTACAGGATTTACAAGTAAACCTGTGGGTGGAGCTACCCTCTACTGAGCTTCTTACAATGTCCTTGTAAAGACAGACTTGCAACTTCACATTTTCAAGTTTTTAAGTGTGCTTAAGAGCAAACCTTATTGTGATTAAGGGCAATCTGGGTTTTAAGTTTGTTTGCGCAGCGTAGATACTATGCTGTAGTGTAGGCCACTACATTAATAGTTAAAAACAAGTTGTTTATAAAGTGAAGTGTAACAAAAGTTATATGGACACACATAAACTACAATAAAAGCTATAATGGGACATGTAACATTACTGTGGGCAACAAGAGGAGCCTGCAATCATAATCTCCAGCGCCGAATTGTTCAAAGCTGGGTTAAGATAACCCAGGGTTAGTGTGAGATTTGAATTCAGATATGAAGCCTTAAGAAGCATGAAAATCTTGTTCCATTACCCACCTACCTTTCCTTTCACCTAATCCTAAGATCCTAAAAGCTTTCCTAAAAACTCTTCCCACCAAAATGAAGCCTACTAAATGCCCAGCAAGAGAAAAAAAAAATGAGGCAAGAAAAGCGAAAAAAGAAGGGAGGAGAGAAAGCCAAAAGTAAAAGTCAAGACTGCTGTGTCACTTTTAAACCCAAAATTGTCGAAATTTTGCTTTCTGCGCATGCCCGAACTTCGCAAGCTGATATTTTGCATCTGGATCAGAAGGCCGCCAAGTGTACAACCTGTAAACCGGTTTGTGGTAAGTTTTAGCTCTTTATAGCACGACAGTGACCAGAAAACCACTCGACTAGCTTCAAAACGCGTTTTTGGGCAAAATCTCCAGGAGCGAATGGGTTAAAGAGCGTTTTCACATGACGTCACGGCGGCCATATTGGTGTTCCAAAACAATGAAAAGCGGCCACGTCGGTGTTACAAACAAATCCTGTGGGAGTTGGACCCTTTTCTTATATAACAAATTTCTTTTGTCCCATAAATTTGCATAGATGCTGGCCGCGTGAGTGAATACACTCTATATAACTTTTCATGTTAAGATTACGCTTATGTTCCGGTTACAGAGTTTTGGCAAGATTTCCGCATGGTCTCAAACATTCATAATGCAAACATTTTTCCACTCTATTCTTTTAGGGCTGTGGGAGGATCTTACCGTAAAGTCTTACAAAAATATCACTTGCCGTATCGTTTCATCCGAACTCCCTGTAGCAAGAACTGCTCCGTTGTTAGCTGCACATTTGATACAACCCGTGTGCTCCTTCTCAGCGAATTTTGGTTTCAACCTGTACTGCTTGGGAAAAAACAAAAGGCATCAAATTGTTTCGCTCATAAGCCCTCATTATGTTATGTTAAGTATGTGCATGTTACCTCAAGCTCATCATCCGCAGTAAGTACATCAAATCCAACAAGAACTTGCTCGTATGTTCCAACAACCACCTCCATGAATGAGACACTCGATCAGGATGCCGAGATTGTCGCCGGGATCGCCGACCGAGAGACGACGAGAGCCCGATGACCAAGAGGGAAAGAGCACTGCATGTTTCTGTCACGAAGTGTAGCATGTCCGTCAAGATGACAGAGAGACTGTTGAGACTTTGTATGAGAAACAAGAGACTATAAAGGGGACAGAGAGGGCATCCCCTATATACATCCTATTCCATAGGTAATTCGTCTCGAGTTATTTTTAGAATCGGGATAAAGTTACCTCGCGCGAGGCGTGGAGGTTTCGTGGAGGTTTCGCGTGACCAAACGCCGTGCAAAACATGTCGGGCGAGAGGCAATGAAAGCGTAAAAAGATCGAGAGCATTCCTGAATATTGAAGCAAAATGAGTCGGCGCTCACCTGGGAAAAAGGAATCGCTGGACTCTTTGACAAGCCGTGAAATCAGTTTAACTCGAAGTTGTCGTAGCCTCAGTGTTTTAATAAAATGAGAAATTTCGCCGGTCTATTGAAACCGGTCGTTTGTTCAATTTAGGGAGTTTAAGATCCAACGACGCGGACGACAACTAGAACGTCAAAAAAACAATAGGTTTAATTAGCAAAACAACAACTTCGCACGTGCAACACACTTTTTTGTTCATTTCTTTCCCTTTTTTGCACGACTACGACGTGAAAATGCCTAATTTCGCGTTTTATGGAGGACGTAAATAAGCAACGACGAAATTTTATTTCTCTTTCTGAGCTTGAATATGGTCCCTTGAAATTCAGCTTTAGGAGGGTTCGCCTACAATTGACAAAGTAAGTGGGTAGGAATAATCGCTATAAAGACTGAAAAAAAATAAACATCAAACCAGAAATTGCTCTCTTCAAACTGTAAATTATAAACGATCCTGAGAGAATATTCAGTGTGTTAAGGATT